CTCTCTCTCTCTCTCTCTCTCTCTCTCTCTCTCTCTCTCTCTTTCCTTTTGCTAATGGTATCACTTGGGACTATATGGAGCCTTCAAAGTCATGCACTGAGGAATGGAGAAAAACATGAGAAAAATGACACAGGAGAGAAACAGGAACAACGTGGAGACTCTGTAATTAAAAACTTCATTCAGTAGGTAAATTTTGATATCCAACCCCACCTAGCAAGGTCCCAACCACAGTGAGGGGTCAGCAGTATGACCAGCCAGATGTTTTCAGCTCTGCAGGATGCTGCTAGAGGCAGCTTGTGGGTATAATTCTTCCATGTTTTCAATTTTTCACTTCTTCAGAGACTCTTTCTTGCTTCATAGATGTTCCGGTTCCCAGGGCAATGTGCCAGTCTCCCTGACCAAAGCCCAGCCCACTTCCTCCCGGGGGTCAAAGTCACAGAGGGCCTGGATGCATGTCGGCTGCTGTGGCACTTGTTGTCTGTCCTGCAGGAATAGCTGCTGCTTTCGGGACCTGGATGTCGATCTTGATAATCTGCCAGCTCATTCAAAGAGGTGAGCTTTAGCACCCAGAGCACATACCTTCCGTCTCTGTCTCAGAGCACCGGAAGGGCAGCACACATTCCAAACTTGACAGAGAGGGGACTCTCCAGAGCATCTGTACTGTCTTGGGTTAGAAAGGCCCCATCAAGTGGATGTCTGGTAAGTATTTCTTCTGCCTTGGCTCTGGGGATTTTGTCACATACTGAGGGTGTGGTTTCATCTGTGTAGTTCTTGGGGATGAGCCCACCTTCTTGTGGAGCTCGACTTTGTATCGATTCTGATCACATTCTCCATTGAGAACCTTGAAGACATTCTCCTTTTGAAACCCTTCTCATCCTCTGCGGTGAAGTCATATTTGGTGATGTCTTCCATATGGGCACTGCCATGCTTGGCATCCTGAAGCAAGGAGCAGAGGGCGTCTTCCCTGCTGGAGCTGAAGTGACCAGGTGCAGTGGCTCAGCCTTACCTCTCTTCTAGGACTACTCCCGTGGTGCAGCTGCCCTCAGCGAGCCACTGGCCTGCTGTGTCTTGAGCAGCCACAGACCCCCTGTTGCTCCCTAAGGGCAGAATCTGCTCCAATCATTGTCAACGCCTTAGCTTCTGCTGCAGCCGGCCAGGAAGATCTTGAGGTGGTTGTTTGGTCCTGATGCTTGTTAGGTGACAGCTTGGATTTTCTCTCTCCTTCAGAGTCAGTTGTGACCACATGAGCCATGTAACTGGAAAGCAGGCTGCCTTCCTGAGTGAGAGGCGTGGCCAGGCCTTGGGTGTTCATAATGAACCAGAGGTATCCACGAGATCCAATTCCATAGCAGTACTGCAGCCTCACCACAAGTCTATGTGCTGCGTGTAGTGTGTTTGATGTTTGTGGGCCCAGAAGTTTGTTCTGCTGGTGGCCGGTAGGACCTCAAGCTCTGCCCACACATAGCAGGGAAACCATGCCTTTGTCCACCCTTGGCCCCCTTGCCATCCACTCCACAGGGACAGTGGCCCCTAGGGTGACAATCCCCAAGTGGGAAGGGCCAGCACATTGTCTGTCCACAGCTTGCAGAAGAGGTCTGGGCTGCTCAGCTGTCACCTCAGAAACCTTAGCGGTGCCTGTGCTGGACCAGCAGCTGTGGAGGGAGAGCTGGGGGGCAGAACTCTCAACAGTTCCTCCAGGAGCTCTGTGGCTACGGCTTCACTGGAATCACAGCCCACTCATGGCAGCAGGTGGTGGAGGGGCTGTGCCACATTCAGCCTGTGGTGGTTGTGCTGGACTTGGACAGTCTCACCCAGTCCTGCTGTAGGCCAGCCTCAGTGTCTTGCTCTGGTCGCAGCCGGGATGGCCTGGGAGCTTGCTGGGCCCAGCACACCCTTCCTGGATGGACCTGGTCCTTGCCGAGGGCCTGGAGAGTGCAAGAAGCCAACTTGCGGGGCAGGCGGGTCATGGGGACCACAAGGAACACAGGTTCTAGCTGATGTGAGCTGGGCGCTGACCAGGAACAGGCTCTATAGGAGCCACCTGGGCTGTGGGGAGAGGGGGGACACCCACTTTCTAAGGCCACATGCAAGCACACATGCCAGTACACTGCACACCACTCATGCCACGTGGACACCCACACATGTGTTCATACTGCACACCACACCACACACACACACATACTACATGTTACATACACATTGATACCTACCACACACAGACTATACATACATGTATCACACAGATATGCACAGACAGTGCATGTCTCACATACCCCCCAACAGGCTTAATCATCACTTGGCACAACACACCATGCTCACACGCACACAAACACACACACTACCCACACTACTCCGAGACACGGAGGGACAAGTGTACCTGTGCAATTGCCTCCTCCACCTGCAGCACCAGTTGCGTCCTCCCTGGTGGCTCTGGCCCTTGCTGCAAGCGGGTGTGCTTGATGTAGTCAAACGTGCTCTTGTTCTTGACCACTGGAAAGGAGAGGGCAGAGGGTGGCTCAGCAGCAGCCGAGCATCCCCAGCCCTGACAGCTGCCAGGGAGCGGCCTCTGTGTCCCGCCCCACGAGGCCAGGGTGGGGCACGAGTGTGAGCACCAGGCTGTGGGACACAGCAGTGCGGTGCAGCAGGACATGCAGCCAGCCAGTCTTGGTCATGGGTGAGACTTGGGCAGGCAGCTGGTTTACTGAGAGCAAAAACAAGCCAGACGCTGGCTTCACCTCACACTCCTGCAGAGGGCCCGACTCAGCTTCTCTTTCCCGAAAGCCAGCACACGCAGGGCTTTGTAAGTTTTGCAATTATTTCTGGAAAGCACAGGGTGCCCACAGAGCCCTGTTTCCAGCCCAAGGTGCAGATGGGTGTGATAGACGACCCTGGACTTGAGTGCAAGTGCAGGGCCTCGCAGTCTCCACCAGTGGCATCCAGCTTTTCCCAGCCTCCAGGCCTCAGAGCTGGGTGGGGCGGAGCACCAAATCTGCCCACGTGTGCTCTCCTTTAAACCTCCCTTCATGCCCATTTCTGCAAAGTCACCCGCACTGGTCATATTATGCTGTTGGTGGGGCTGCACCTGCCCCAAGTGCTTCCCAGGCAATGCCCCAACCAGGCTGCCAGGCTGAGGCAAGGATCTCAGACTCCAGGCAAGAAGCCTGAGGCCAGGCACTGTGTCCTCCCAAGTGACCAGGGCCCGCAGCCAGCTCAGGTGGCCTGGGGAGCCCTGTTCTTCCCCAAGCTTATTCAAAATGCTGCCTCCTCCACCCTCCCTGACTGAGGTGACTGAGCGCTGCCACGGGTACTAGGTCCCTGCGGCTTCCCGCCAGTGCACCCACTCTCTTGCTTCACACAGAGCCTCACCACATGGTGCCCTGTGCACAGGCCAGACCTGGACCCATCCTTCTCTTCAACACTGCCCTCCTGCCCGCCGTGCCACGAGCAGCTCTCCTCTGCCATGCTGCTCTGCGTTGGAACCAGCTGACTATGGACTAAACCTTCGACAAACTGTGAGCCAAAATAAACTTCTCCTCAGGGTTGTGTCCTGGCAATGAGAAAGGAACTGAGATATCTGTCATCCCATCCACAAACACACCCTGACCACCTCTTCACACAGGCACCCACTGGGCCAGGTCCCAACACAAACCCTCAGCACAGGGTCGGAGCTGCACCACAAGACTTAACCCAGTACCTGCACTGTGTTCTCATTAAAAAAAACCCATGTCTCAGGCAGGAGAGCAGGAAGGAGTGTGTCACAGCACCTGTGAGCCAGGGGTGACACTGTTGGTGGGGTCACCTGGGGCCATGAAGGGGCCTGTGAGAGCACAACGTGAGACTCCACCTGGCCCTTGCCCTTGTCTGGCTCCCCAACACTTGGGTGAGAGTGAGGCAGACTTCAGGGAGCAGCACCCTGATGTCCATGGAATTCTAGGTCCCCAGAGAGGTTTCACAGCTGATGACTCCACAGTGGAGGACAGAGGGGGCCCTGCTGTGCACATCACTCTACAACATCTACCTGGTGCTTTGCGAAACCCACCCGTTCCCTTTTCATAGTGTCCTGTTCTTGTCTGAGTCTCCTGTTTTTTGCCTCTGACCATTCTAAACTCATCTCAAAGACTCATGTTTCTTGTGGGTCCTGGAATGTGACAGCTGGACCCACTGTCCTTCTCTCCCTGTGACCTGACCCTTCTGCCATGTGCTTGTGTCTGGTGGGCAGCCTGAGGGCCAGGATGCGGCAGAGCAGCTAGGTGAGTACGCACACAGGTAGATGTGGAAGATGAGCAGGTGCCCGAGCAGCACAAAGCTGACCGTGCCCAGCAGCAGCACTCCACCCATCATGCAGAGGGCCACAGGGGTCTTCACAGGCACACGCCACCTGGGCAGGAACAGCAGCCATACGGTCACCGTACTGATGTCTGGGAAGAGACAGACACAGGCCTCAGCACATGGGGACCCCAAGGCTGTCCCCACTGCAGCCCTGCCCGGTGGCCTGAAGAGGGGGTGGGTGGAAGAGACCCCAAAGTCTGGTCCTTCACCCTGTCCTCCAGATCTGGACTCTGCCCCCAGCCTGCCACCTTTGGACACTTCTGGCCACACCTGGTAGGATGCTGCTCGGGTGAGTGGGTCTCCCAGGACCACAGACCACAGCTGACAGAATGAGGCACAGGGACTGAGGGGGCTGTGTGGGCAGCCACACAGTGGAGCCCACATTCAGAAAGAAGTCCAGGGGCTGGGGATTTAGCTCAGCGGCAAGGATGGGGTCACAGCATGCCTTCATGGACCCATGGAGGATGCCAGCTTGGGCTGCTGTGCCAGGCCTCAAGCCCTATACAAGCTTCAGCCCACAAGCAGGGAGTCATACAGAGCCATCATGCTACTGTGCAGAACCAGTGTATGCCAGAGAGGTGCCCACTTCTGCTCTCCCCCACCAAAGCCATGCGTGTGGCTCAGCCTGGGCTCCAGCTGTCCTGGTCTCTCATTCTACCCCAGTCCCTCCAGCTGTCCTAGCCTCTCATTGCACCCCACAGAGGTCCAAGGCTCAGATGATATGGCAACTGCTTCAGGAGACACTTTGTGACCAGGGAGGAGAGTTTGTGGAGGCTCGAGGATCACAAGATTGTGACCACAAGTGGAGCCCACATTCAGAAAGAAGTCCAGGGGCTGGGGATTTAGCTCAGCGGCAAAAGCGCCTGCCTGGCATGCGCAAGGTCGTGAGTTTGGTTCCCGGTACCGGAGAAAAACCAAAAAAAAAAAAAAGAAAAAAGTCCAGAGTGGGTGGCATGGTTCCACCTGAAACTCCCAGAGCTGTCCTTGAAAGAACAAAAACATCCATTATGTTGTCTGGGTGTGGCTGCACCCTCTCTAGAAGGGTGTGCAGATGTCCTGATGCCTGCAGCTGACATGGGTAGCCACTCTGGTATGCTGCAGCCCCTGTGACAAATGACCATAAACTTGAGATGCTTTAGCCACAAACCTTCACTTCACACGGTGAGGTCACAGTATGAGTGACACAGTAGACAGGTGTCCTCTCTCCTGGCCAGAAGGGGCATCTTCCCACCTCTCCCAGCTCTGCGGCTCCAAGTGTCTCCGGGTGTATGGTGGCTGCAGAGCTCCAGCCTCTGCCTCCACCCCATGTGGTGTCTGTGTGTCTGTCTCCTCTTCTGTTTCTCGGAAGGCTAGTGTCCCTGGTTGTGGATGAGCTAGGCAAGATCCTCCTCTTGAGGTACCTCGTCAGTGTCTGCAGTTCTCTCCTGGACGTGGACACAATTTGGGGGCCATAATCAGCCGGCCATGCCTTTCCCTCTCACCCAGTGCAGACGTAGGTGCCCACAGCCCAGGATCCAGGACCTGTGGTCAGAGGTGGATCTTGGCTGTTCTCTTCTCTTCCCCTTCTGACAGTGGCTCTTGGCTGGCAGCCCCTGGCCTGCTGTGCTGCATGGCCTCACTGGGCCCCAACAGGTCTCAGAGCAGGCTGTGGAGAGGTCAGAGGGCACACAGCACCTGCTCTGGGCCTGGCCTCCCAGAGTCCTGGGAAGCCTTTGGCTGATGTTGGTTACAGATTAAAATGTCCCCAAAGGTCTCATGTTAGGAGGTGGGGCTTGGCTGGAGGTGGTCACTGGGGTGTGACCTGGAAGAGAATGTTCTTGTCCCCAGCTCATGCCTTTTCTGCTTCCTGGTTGCCATGAGGTGAGCAGCTGTCCTCCACTAGGCCCCTGCACAGTGATGCTTCTGTCTTGGAGCCATCTGGCCATGGACTGAGTCCCCCAAACTGTGAGCCAAATGAAACCTCTTCTTTACATTACAGGTTTCAGGCATTCTGTCCCAGCAGTGGGAAGGTGACAGATTTGTGTGGACGCAGAGCTACTCGCAAGCTGGGCTCACTGTGGCAGAAAGGGTCCTTCCCGGAACGGCGGCTAGCGTTGAGGCCGAGCTCAGCACCCTCACACAGGGCAGCCCAAGCGGGAGGCACTCCATGTGCTGCGTACCTTTGTAGCTGGGGTCCGTGCGGAGCTTGTTGGGGTTGACGAAGTGCTGGATGCAGACGTACAGCAAGAGGATCTTCACGCAGAGCAGGCCTATCAATGCCGAGGCCACAGAGCAGAAGAAGAACCTGCAGGGGCAGAGCATGCTGGGGACACTGGCGAGGGCAGGCTGACCCCATGTGGGCATTACATGGGGAGACAGACCCTGACCACTGCCCTGACAGCCCTTAGGCCTCTTCTGTGTCTTCTCAACCACCTTCTAAGTTCTCCAGGCAGACATCACTGGCCAGCAACCTCACAGCCATGCCCTTGCTCCCCAGTCCTCTGCCTGAGCCCTCTGTCTGTCCTGTCTGGAAAGGACTCCTCCAGTGAGAAAGGTGGTCCACAAGACGGCAGTGCCCAGAGCCCATCTGAACCCAGCAGAACCAGCATCTTCCTGTGAATACAGGTGCTTGTCCAGGCATCAAGTCCTCTATCCTGGACTGTTTCCTCAGCCCTTGCTGGCACTAGTGAGGCTGTGCCATTCCCAGAGCTTGTGTGGCTAGGATTGTGCATCCCTCCCAAGCTCTGCAGATCATGTCAGCTTCAGGGCCAAATCACACTCAATTCCGCTGTGCTTCTTGCTTCCCTGCAGAGCTTCATCCGCCATCCTCCCACACAGGCAGCGTCTGTTCCCGGGTGCTCTGAGGCGTGTCTGAGGACATAGACTCTCCTGGCCTGTGCCTGGGGCAGCTCTTGCTGTGCCATCTACCTGCACTGGGCCCCGCCCATGGGCTGCCTTCCTCGTGGGTCTGAGCTGAGGCTCTGTCCACAGCCGCGGCCTTCATCTGCTGCTCAGTGAGCTAGTCCTTTGTTGCACGTGTGCAGGACAGTGGAAGTAAAAGCCACTGAACCCATGGTTCCTGTGATGCTCATGGTCACCAGCAGCCTCTGTCCTCCACACTGGGCCCAGATGGAAGGGCGCAGTGTTCTTCTTGGCTGTTTTCATGAGGACCAAGCTGATGGACACTTGGCCTAGACATGACCTGGGAGCCCCGTGGATCCACTTCCACCTGTGCCCTGGACACTCCGTCCTGTGCTCCTCATCTGCCCACTTCTCTGGGATGGCTGCCTGGGTGTCAAGAGGACAGATGGCCCAGGACAGTGAGTACAGGAGACCCAGCTGGTTCCTCCAGGCCAGGGCAGGGTCTCAGGGACTAGATTTGTGGTCACATGCAGGGACAGCTCCACCAGACAGTTCAGGATGAGTGGACACTGGCGCCAAGCCTGCTGTGTGGACTCCAAGATGGACATGGACATGGCTCGGACATGGCTCTAAGATGGCCCTCCCCCCACATACCCCATGGTCCACTGCCCTCACCCCTCAGCACCCTGCTCTGCTGGAGGTCCCCCCAGGATGGAGGCACTTGCACCCCTGTAAAGGCCTCTGGCCCTGGGAGCCGCCCACAAGGCCCCTACCAGCCCTCACCAGTAGTTTCTGCTCCCCACGCAGTTATTCAGCCACTTGCAGTGGTGGTCGAAGCCGGCGACACACTTGTTGCAGGCGCTGCAGTGCTTGGCTTTCTCATTCCTGGAGGAATTGAGGGACCTCATTGGCCCAAATGTGTGAGCGGTGTGTGGGGCTGGGATCCCCAGTTCCCCAGGGGCCCCAAGACCTAAGATGTGACCCATCAGGGGCCACAGTGGCTTTGCCTTCTCCTTTGTGGCCTTGTCCATTGTGCCCTGGGCTATGGGGAGGGGTGCAGGTCACAGAGACTGAGGGACCCTAGCTGTGTTGGAGACACCTGGCCCAGTGGGCAGGCTTAGCTGTCACCTCAAGGGCTGTGGGGCTGCTGTGCCCTGGGGTAGACTCACACGGTGACCTCACACAGGTGGCAGTACAGGTTCTGGATCACATGCGTGTGCTGGGAGCGGTCAAAGGTAGGCATGGGCTTGGAGTAATTCTTGAGTCGGACGTTGGCTTCGGCTGGGTCAATGGTGATCGCAGCGAGGTGGACAACCAAGTGGAACAGGAACACGGCACCAGTCACCTGGGGTGTCAAGGAAGACACGGCTGGGCTGGGTGAGCAGGATGCAATGCCCCTGGCTCTGCTCTCTGTGCCCCGAGGGGCCCCCACACTCAAAGCTGGGCCGGGCAGGCCAGCCCTCTCCACTTTCTGACCACATGGTCACCCCAAGATTTGGGACAGAGCCGGCCAGGGAGGAGGCCCTGTGGTGTCCCCTGTCCCTGTCCCAGCATGCAGGAGCATGGGCTTCTGTAGCAGAGGAGGGGTTCAAGGCTCAGCTGGGGAAGTTACACCAGCTGCATGCATGGGCACGGGACAGGCCAGGGGTAGAGGGCCCAACACCAAGTATGGCCCACGTAGAGAGGACCTCACCTCTCAGGGACTGGGCACTCACGGGGACCCCAGGGCTCTCTCCAGTCAGGACCAAGTGGCCATGGCAGGAAGGGCTCTGTGCCTTGGCTGGGAGGAGGATGTGCTCCCTCAGGGCTGCGTACGCAGACGCCATGCTCCCCTCCTCACCTGGGAAACCAAACAGGAGGGCACGCACACAGGGCTCCCATCCCCTGCACCAGGCTTTTGGGGCTGGGCAGCCAGCACATGCAGGTCCCTGTGCAGCAGCCTGGTGCGTGCCCAGTGGCGGGCAGCCCCTGCACAGCAGAAGAGGAAGGCTGGGTTGTGGTCAGTCCCTGTGGGAGCCCTGAGGAGCGTCCCAGAGGAGGCCCACAGGGAAGCAGATTCTGCTGCACCTGCATGGTTGGGGCTGGGGCCGGGTGGGCACAGTGGGTAAGGGTGGCCATGGGAAGGGCCCTGGTACCTGGCACATGTGTCCCTGACAAGGCACAAGGGGCTGACTGTCCTGTCCCGTGAGGGTCCCTGGCACTCAGCCCACTTCCCGTCACTGCCCAGCTCCTCCTGCCACAGGAAGCGTGGTACAGATGAGTCTGCATCCCACAGGCTGCAGGTGGCTGTGGGGCGCAGGCTAAGGTGGGTGACACTACAGGACCCGCAGTGTGGGTGGCTCCGCACCATTTCCTACAGGCTGAGCCCAAGCCAAGCTGCCTGTTTGTGTGGTTACTGGGGCAACAGGTGTGCCTGGGAGCCTGAGACACGGAGGGCAAGGGATGGGGCCACGGATGAGCAGGACCTGTGTGGCTCCTTCCCAGGGGCTGGCGCAGAGCTCAGAGGACACGGCAGGCAGAAAAGGTGGGCAGGGAGGTGGGGCTCGAGTGGCCACTGGGCCCCAGGGGAGGCTGAGGAAGGTGCCCAGGCCCCAGGCACCACGCCCTGCAGCACCCACACGTTCTGCTGGGGCCCAGGCTGCTGTGGTGGGGCCTGGACACTTGGGCCTCAGGTGGAAATGCTGGGCCTGGACCTTCCAGGCAAACCCACATGGTCAGCTTCCTTGGGAACCCTAAGATTCCAGGCAGAGTCCCCACCTAGACGCCCTCTGGACAGGAAGCTGTGTCCTGTGAGCACCACGTCTCTGCCACAGGGTGCAGCCTCAGTCCCACTCCTGCCTGACAGCCCTGACTCGGGCATCTCAGGTCAGAAGGACAAAGGTGAGAGAAACAGGGCGGTTGCCAGCCAGGCCTCCTCTGGAAGTTTCGGTCTGGGAGCCCAGAAGCCAGAGCTCAACGTCCCTGGCAACAATCTGTGTTTAGTAAACAAACCGCGGGGTGGGAGCCAGTTTGTGAGACACACGCCCTTCGCCCTCCTGACACTGTGACCTTGCCCTGTCGTCCTGCAGGGAGGAAGAGGGGGAGGGGGCTGTGATCCCTCCTCAGTCCGCCTCATCCGCTCCAGCGCAGCTCTGCTGCAGAACTGGAAGGCTCAGAGGGGCGCTGCTGAAGACCGCTGGCCTGACCCAGGACCCCCCTCCAAAGCTGTGACTCCCCCAGCCTAGGGTTGCACAGAGAGATGTCCCAGGGTTAAACAGAGCTGCGGAGTGCAACAGCACGGGCCCCTCTGCAGGGAGGACCCATGGCGGCCAGCCAGCTTCGCCAGCCCTGTCACCTAGCACCTGGGGCACTGAGGGTCCCCAGCTGTGCGCTGCCCTCCACGGAGCAAACCCCACCGCAGCGCCCAGCCCAGTCGCTCCCAGCCCCGGGCCTTGCGGGCCCCATATGACGCTGGCGCCCTCCAGTGGCCACAGCGCACACACCGTGAGTGGGAAGTGGGGAGCGGCCGCGGGAAGCTGCCGGGCGGGGGACGGAGGCAGGCGCAGTATGGAGGGTAAGACCAGGGTTCTGGGCAAACAGGTTCTCCACAGAGAGCACGCGGAGCTCAGGGCTACGCAGGACACAGAGAAGACCAAGGCCGATGCCGGTTCAGGGACAGCGGGAGGAAAGACGGCCACACAGTGAAGGCGTGAGGGTCGCATGCTGAGGACTTGACTTGGAAATGGGGTTTCCTTCTGCCGATGAGGCCATCAGGTGGGCCCTGCCCCGAAGGAAGTGCACTCCTCCTGGAAAGGGCCTGGACAGAGGTTGGCTCCCCTGGGCTGGTGGAGTGAGGACACAGTGGGGACAGTGCCTTCACTCTCCCCTACCCCTGCCTCAAACTGTGAGACAAAACAAACTTGTGAGCCAGATGTGGGGGCACATATCTGCAATCCCAGTACCCTGGGAGGCTGAGGCAGGAGGATCATAAACTTAAGCCTAGCCTCGGAAACTTAGTGACTTAGCAAGACTGTCTCAAAATGAAAAATAAAAAGGCCTAGAGATGCAGCTCACTGCAAAGACCCTGGGTTCAATCCCAGGTACCACAAAAAGCCAAAACAATACACCTGCAGTTTGAGGTACCCAAGGTATGGCAAGGACAGGCTCTTCCGGCTCCTCAGTGATGCTGAGGGGGGAGGTGTAGCCAGGTTGAGGCAGCAGGAAGTGGGGACAGAGAGCAGAGAGTGAGCCTCTGTGGTGCAGGTGACCAGCAGGCGGGAAAATGGCCAGCTGCTTGTAAGGCTGCCCTGAGGCCCCAGCATCTGCTGGCAGCTGCTGTCAGTGCAGGGGACCTGGTCACCCACATGTCCCCCCGGCAGGCCTGGCCCCAGATGCCCATGCTGCCAAACGTAGGAGGTGCAGCCCTGTCCAGACCATGCTCTGGCTGGAATTGCAAACCAGGTCCAGTCCGTGGAGCCAGATGCCACCCAGGGCCCCAGAGACACTGTGGCTGCAGCCTCAGCAAGGTCCACGCACAGATCCAAACCCTGGCTGAGTCTGGCTCCTACAAACCTCACCTGGACCATGGGGATGGAGGAGGAGGCTAAGATGAGCCGCATAGGATCACATGGTCTTTACGGGGGGGGGGGTTGCTGTGTTTAGGCAGTGGGGAGCACCCGGCTGGAGATCCTGGGTTCCCTCAACTGCCCCTACCTGCCCACCCGCTCTGGGCAGGAGGCCATGTGAAAGGGCATGGGGACTGGTGGCACTGGTACCTGGGTACAGAGCCTGGGTTCAGGGAGGACCCAGGAGGGTACAGCAGGCTGTGCACAGGTACGGGCTGGGAGGGGAGAGCAGAGAAGGCTCCCTCAGAAGGAAGGGGTGTGGCTGGCAGGGGCTGAGTCTGCAGAATCAGGGCAGCTGCACCTCCCATCACCTGAGTCCCCACACTTGTCCAGGCCTGGCTCAGACCTACCTGCTCAGGTCTGGGCAGAACCCAGGCCTTCTAGACAAAAGCCTCCTGTGGAAGTGGAGCTGGTGGCCACCTCCTGGGGTCCCCCTGCAGCCACTACTGTTCCTCAGGGCATCTGGGCTGCGGCAAAGTTACCGGAGGGGCCAAGGAGCAGAGTGCCTGGTGTGTGTGTGTGTCCATGAGTGTGCATGGCCAGTGCCTCTCACTAAGGCAGCCTTGGGCCCCGGGAGACACAGGGCCAGCTGGCCTGGCCCTTCCCAGTGTGCGGTGGGAGGCCTTGCCTGTTTAGGGAAAGAGCAGCTGCCCAGGGCACCCTAGCCCCAGAGCTGAACCCTAGGTCCCAAAGACACAGCCTTAGTCTCACAGCTAGATGGGGGCAGGGAGTGTCCTGTGCTCGCTGGCAGGAAAATTAGCTTTAAATATGTACATTAGAAGCTAGAAAAGGCATGACACCAATGATCTGGTTTCTACCTTAAAATGGGAGGAAAGAAAGGCACAGCAAACCCCAAGGCAGAAAGAAATAACACAAATGAAAGCAGACATTAAAAAAAAAGACAAACAGAATTAGTGCGCTCTAAAACTGATTTCTGTAAACAGGAATAAAAGCCAATGAAGGGAAAGAGCAGGGACTCAACTCCAGCACAAACGCAGGCACAGCGGCAGGGCCCTGCAGACACGGACAGGGAAATGATCCCACTGCAAACAAAGTCACTTCCGGGAACTTTGGCAATTAAATAAAATACTTATATTTCCTGAAAATACAATTTACCCGAGTGCACAGGAGGTGAAACAGAAAAGCTACGCAGCCCTTTACCCTCTAAAGACATCGAATTCACTATTGAGAGCCTTCCTGCCAGAGGCCTCCAGCGCTGGGAGAATGGCCCAGCTGGGTGAGGGAGCCCAGCCCAGTCAGACACAATGAAGGCAGAGGGCACCCCGGATCCACAGCCGCATGGGGATCCCCTGGGTGCGACAAGACCTAGAGGATGTCAGGGGAGTGGTGGTGTTGAGGCTGCTGGTTGGCTTGCCAGTTGGTAGGAGAGTAAAGGCCCGAGGCTTGCAAAGCAGCTCCCAGAAAGGAGTATGAGAGACCACACCAGTCTGCAGAGCCCTGGCGGCTGAGGTGAGTGGCGGGCATGTGGGGTCGTTTTTGCTTTCCCTTGCCTGAAAAAACTAAGTTCCAGGAAGAGCACCCACCTCACAGGTGGTTGAGCCCCTGGAAGGCAGCACAGACCCTGCCCAGGCCATGAACACAGGTTCTCACGCCACTGCTCACACCTGTGTCCTCTGCTGACCCCTGTCCGCCATCCACACGGCCCTGGTCACTTCACTCACCAGCACCTGCAGGGATAGCACAGCCAAAGCCAAAGACCATGCATTGACGCAGCTATGCCCTCGGAGAGGATGTCTCAGCAAGGCTGGAACTCCAGCTCCAGGTGTAACACTTCCACAAGGCCACTCTGCACCCAACACTGACCTATCTGTCCCCAACATCACAGTTGCCAGGGACCGGCCAGCTGGGTGTGACACAGAGCACGTCACTTCCCATCGCCTTCCAGGTGCAGTATCCTAGGGGACCGGGTGTGATGTTTATACAGTAGCCATGCCAACCATGGAGCTGGCCCGAAGACTGCAGTGCGCACACTGACAGGGCTGGGGTGGGCAGTGGCACACAGTGGAGCTCAGCTTGCTTCCAAAGTCCTTTCTTATTGATGTTGCCCCTCTTCTAAGGACAACACAAACTGTTCAGGGGTGCTGCTCTGCAGCTCCCTCCCTCTCTTTGGGGCTCCCCACTGCCTGTGCCCTTCTACTCCCTCAGGTCTGGCTCACAGTGGTGTGTCAGCCCTCTGCACACGGGGACAAATGGCCAAGGCACACAGGTGTGGGGAGAGAGCCCATGGGGACCAGCTGTATGGGAGACCAGTGGAGAAGGCCCTCCTTCCCACCTCTGCCCTACAGGAAGAAGGATACAGAGTATGCAATGTACTTCCAGATGCTCGGCAGGAGTGGAATGGCAATCCCAAAGATGATGATGGACAAGACCAGGTAGGTGGTCCAGGCCACCGCCTGGAAGGGGTGGAGGGGCAGTGACCATCCATTCACCCTGGACAGGTGGCGTGGTGGGCTCTTCAGGCCGCTGACCTGGGCCTCTGGGAGGACTCGTTGCAGGCTCCTGCTAAAGAGGTCCATCTGCAAGACAGAGGGGCCACGGAAGCTGTCAAGCCCAGGGTGGAGCAGGGATGGGCTGTGGGACCCACCAGCCATCAGGGGAAACTCCTGGGCCCAGGACCAAGAGTTGACACCTGGCATGGCCCAGGGCCACTGCAGCACACCTGGGGGCAGCTGGAGTGGGCAGGTGCCCACCTCCATGGGCCACAGCTGACAGCCTTGGGCACAGACCCTGAAGGCTCTTGGGGCTGTAGAACCCAAAGATACACATATGTCCACCTGGACAGGGCCCCAGGTAATCAGGCATGTACAATCTCTGGGGAAGCCCTTGCCAGATGCCATACCAAGGTGACTTCTGGAGCTTGTGTATAAACACACTAACCGACTCATTGATGCCAGAAGGAAGCAGAGCACCATTCAGGTCACCAAGGAAATACAGAAAGGAGGGGTTGTCAGCAAACTAGCTGGTGCTGCACCTGCCAGAAAACCCTACTCAAGCACTCCCTCCTCTGCTAGTGCTCTGAGGAACACAGTGAGAGCCCACAGCAGAGGGCCCTTGGTCATCCCTTCCTCAGAGCCCTGGCACCTTTGGACACCGTGGAGTTTCCCAGGTGAACAGTGGCCCAAAGGGCCCCACAGTCACTTTGGGCCCAGCAGGGGCAGATGGTGGCTGGCACTGGAACTAGGGTGAGGAAGACAACCGTGGCTGGGGGCTGTTAGAGAGGAGCTTTGCAAAACGTGGCCTCATGCAAAGCCTTTGCTGTCTCTTCGGTGAAATCATTCACAAAATGTAGCAAATGGAAGCACCTTAGGAAGACACTGCGGCACATTCTGAGACTGTCTTCCCCTTTGAGTTCAGCAGCCCTGGGGCTCCCTGGAGCACACTGTGGCTGCTGGGCTCTTGCACTCTCTAAGCAGCCCCAGGTGGGTACAGTCTGTTCCCAGTGGCCTGACTCTGTCTGGGGGAGCTCCTGGCAAGTGCGCCTATTGTGAAGCTAGACCACAGGACTGGGGTAATAATGTGTACTGAAAAATACAACTGCCCACTAGACACAAGCCGGATGAAAGTGCCAGCCGACAGAAGGATGCTGCCAAAAATTCAAACTGTACTCTGGAAGGTCAGCGGAGTAGTCACAGAGGCCAGAGCAGCAAGACAGAGACGGACCATGAACCAAATCCCCTGAAATGTAAGCCGAATCAAACCTTTCTTCCTTTAAATTGTGGTGTCACGTGTCATGTCTGGCAACAGGCAAGCTAATATTGAAAACTGGTATCAGGATTAGAGTCTTATTGTGACTGTACCTAACTATGTGGATCAGAAGCCTCTGTGACTGGTTTATGGGAGGAGTTTGGAAAGTTTGGAGGTGCCAGCTGGGGAAGTCCTAGATTGGTGTAAGCAGAGCCTGATGGATGGTCTGGTCAGAGCTCAGACCAAACTATTACAGAATGCAGACAGTAAAGACCAGGTTCAGGAAGTTTCAGTGGCGAACAAGAACTCCACTGGCAGTTGGGCTAGAAGTCATATGCACTATATTCTCCCCTCCCACTCCTGCAAATCGTTATATTTTGCTCCTATCCTGAGAGTGAGAGAAGGGCTGGGGATTTAGCTCAGCGGCAAAAGCGCCTGCCTGGCAAGCGCAAGGTCGTGAGTTCGGTTCCCGGTACCCGAGAAAAACCACAAAAAAAAAAAAAAGCCTGAGAGTGAGAGAGACTGAAGACTGAGGTGAAGGGTGGTAGACTAACTGATCTAGCATAGGAAATTTCAAGACAGCCAACATTCAGGCTGTGGCATGGGTACTGCTGACTGCTTTTGGCCAGATTGATAGTGAGAATGGAGGTCTAAGAGTAGAGCAGAGAAATTTCAAATTTGGCCCAGAAGAAACTATACAAAATTAGGGACAAAAGAGATGTGGTTTCTGAAGAGATCAGTGCCATTTAAAAGAAATTGCACAGGAATAAGACAAAAGATGCTTTGAGGTTATCTCAGAAATCAGAAAGACTCCACCATCACAGGTTGAAGGGTATAAAACAGCAATTTTTCATTTGAGAAGACAGTGTCTGGGGCATCTGCCCAAGAAGGGTCTCCTAGGGAACTGGTTCCCTGGGATTCATTTTATTGTGGTCAGCTATACAGGCACTTAAAGCCTGCTGCAGCCATGATCCAAGAAGGCCTGGATACTGCTTCTCCTGACAGCAGACCTTGGCACTGTCAACATGATGCTGGTTTTTTGTTGTTGTTGTTGTTTTCTGGTACCGGGAATCGAACTCACGATCTTGCACTTGCCAGGCAGGCGCTGTGCCACTGAGCTAAATTCCCAGCCCCAACATGATGCTGTTTTAACCAGCATGCCAATGCAAGATTTGTGGGGTTATGGTGGCTTCCACCTGGATTATAAGAAAGGCCAAGCAAGGAGACCCTGAGAGGGAAGCGTGTGAAGCTGTGGGAATGAAGCCAAAGGTACAATGGTGACCCTAGGAACCTCGAGATTTCATGGAATATGGTACACCTGTCAAGAAAAGCTGCAGACTGTGAATGGAGCCAACCTGAGAGGTGGTGTGGGCTGCTGCCTGCAAGGCCACAGGGCTGGAGCTGCCCAAACTGCTGGAACTCTCATATCACCACTTTGTGCCCCAGAGGCCAGATGGAGCTACAGGGCCTCCTGTTTGCGCACCCTGCTTTCAGTCTTGCTTTGGTTCAGTCCTTTTCTGTTCCCCTATTCCTCCCTTTTGGAATGGGAATGTTTACCCTATGCCATTGCACCTTGAGATTACATTTTGTATTTTCAAGGAGACTCCCAGCTGAGTTTGCCTTGAATCTCAGCTTAGGCTTTGAGTTTTTAAAAATGCTAGGACTGCTGGGACTTTGTGGAGGATATTAATGCTTTTTTAATTGCACACAGAACTGTTGTATCATGTTAAGCAGAATGATGGATTTGCTACAGTCTTTATTTGTAGATTAAGTATGGTTTAAGGAGATGTGTCGGGTGGATTGTGACCGTTAATCACGATGCATCACATAGAGTAGATCAAGAAATGTCTGAGGGATTAGTAAAGTTTATTTCCTGGGTGTGTCTGGTTGGGTCAAGGAGGTGTGACCTAGGTGCTCTATATGGTCCATGCCCCTTCTGCTCTGGCACTGTTCCCCTACTCCGCTTCCTGCCTGCCATGAACTAAGCCTCTCTGCTCTGTCACATCCTCCACCATGACATTTCTGCCTTGGAGCAAGTTGACCAAGGGCTGAACCACTGAAACCCTGAGCCAACTGAAATTTGTCATTTTAGTTGTAGATGTTTGGTACTGTGTTTTAGTGACAGGAAAGTTAACACGACAAAGTAACTGGTCAAGCATTTGCCCAGATACAGGGCAAGGACCAAGCCAAACCTTATTCTGATCTCTGGAGCAAAATATCTTGTGAAACCTCACTCTGATCTATGCAACAAGTTACTTGGTCAAACTATGCAGATCTCCAAGGCAATGTACCTGCTCAAACCATTTACCCAGATCCATGAGGCAAGTTACCTGGTCAAATCTTTACCCAGATTTACAAGGCAAGGTACTTGCTTAAACCTTGACTCAGACCTATGAGGCCATTTGCCTGGTAAAGCTTGACTCAGACCTAAGTGGCAGCACCAAGACTGGTATGACCTCTTCAGTCTTTTCTCAAAGATGGGATTGGTTGTGGTGGCTCCTCTAGTACAAACACTGCAGTACTCCTTCACCACTTCCACTTAGTGTATCATCCTAGGAGGACTTCATGGGATGCAAGGCGCTTCCAGGCTTGTCTCTCCTTCTTGTGGACACCACAACTATGCATGGACCCTCACTGGTGCAGGCCCTAGGGCAGGGCACATGCATGAGTGCTCAGCCACAGGAGACAGGGCACTGGGGCCAGACCCTGGGGACTTCAGCAACACATCAGCTTCCAGGGGCATGCTCCCCTTCTCCAGGCCCAGGCTCAATTCTGAAAACACTTCTCTGCAGGTCAGAACTCAGCCGACACACCACATGCACCACAGAGCACCGCGCACAGCATGAGGAAACAGGCACAGGACACACCACATAATACCACAACCATACACAGCACACACACCACACACAGTATACATACACAGAGAACACGCACCGCCACACAGCACATGATATCCCACACATGTACCACATGCAATACACACAGCACCACACACAGCACACATTAGCACTCACATCACACACATGTGGCACAGTCCTGGGCTCCTGACACCCTCTCCCTGCCTGGAAGGGCCTCATGTCCCTCCCCGCTGCCTTGGTGCCCTGAATACCTCTGTGCCATGGCTCCTTCCCTTCCAGCCCACACTTGTCCAGTCTGGCTGTGGCCCCTTGTTTACTCATCCCAGAAGGCAGGAAAAAGGTTAGGGTTAGGTCAGCGCTAGCGTTTGAGATGTGTGATCAGCCCAGGAAGGAGCACTGCTGGGCTGGTGGTACCTAGTGTCTCTCTGGCCCTTGCAGCTCACACCTTGTTCTACCCTGCCTGGAGGTTCCACTGGGTCCCCATGCAGGCATCCATGCTGGATGTCACCATCACAGCCACTGGCCAGCGACACAGACTCTTGGGCTTCCTAAAGGTACCACCCCTGCCCATCTTGTACGCAAGTCCAGACAGCTGTGGCAGTGAGCATGTTGTCTCCTTTTGTCTGAAGATCTGGAGGCAGATCACTTCTGCCTTCACTTGGAGTCTTGAAACATCACTGCTTGGCTGGAGACCAGATGCAGCCCCCAAAACTGGTTAGGTGAGTGGCCACCCTGGACCTCCCTTCCTGTTCAGCCCTGCTATCTCAGCACCCGAGTCCACCCAACCCGGACCTTCCTGTGCCACTTCCCACTGCACAGCCCCCTTTGCTAAGCATCACTAGGCAGAAACCCTGGTGCCTCCTGAACAGTCCAAGTGGATTGTGCTGGGGGTGGTGTTTGGACCTCAGCCGGCCAGGTCCAGACCCTCTACCAAGGGCCCTGTTTGGAGTGAGGTGGGAAGCAGCACCCACTACCCACAGCAGTGTCCACCCTGACCTCTCACCTCTCCAATGGGCTCAGCATCGAGGTCAGCACATCTCACTGGGCATTGACCAGACCAAGAAGCAGTGGGGCTCCCTGGTCCACACGGCAGCCACGGAACCCCAGGCGCCTCACAGACCCAGGTGTGGCACCCACAGAGACACTCTGTGGGGGATGGGCGCAGGGACGGGGACAGACCTAGCTCAGATGCCCTGTGCAGTGGCCTCCAACTGCTGGGCAGCTGGGACTTGACCCCCACTGGCCATTCCTGCTTCAGGCCAGGTGCTCGAGGCAGGCCTGTCACCTGGGCCCAGCTGAGCCCATCACTACCATGCAGGTTGCCTTCCTGACATGTGAGCGCTCCATGGCAGGCTGGGGAGCCCGCGTCATCAGCACAGCCTAACCCCATGTGAAGGGTGTCCTGTCTCCTGCCCACCCCCAAACCCTCTGCTTGCAGTGTCTGGAATCCTAGACTCAGGAAGTTCTGGCTCCCTACTGTTGAAGCAGTAACCTTCATCCCTGTAAGTGAAATTTTATAACCTTCTGTTCCCGTAACGTCTTACGACCCCGATGAGCAGGGTCATCAAGATACAAAACCGTCACAGCTTGAGGAACTGCCTTTGTTCTCCTTCTGCCCGCCCACCAGTTCCACACCAAAGACCAACCCCCTTGACCAAATATACAAAACCTGGAATCTGTTCTTTGTCCTTTGCTCAGCCATTTTGGACCTACCAGCCGAGCCACGGTACATCTAAAAAGAAAGTCCTCCTGTTTCCCATTTGGTCTCTGTGTCTCTTAAACCTTGCAACATTTCTGGTGACCACAAAAGGACAGGAGATGACAGATTTGCTCTCTCCTTTACCTGCAGGCCCCAGACAGCCCAAGCTGTGGGAGTCCTGAGATCTCTGGTGTCACCATGTGAAACTTTAGCTCAGAGAAGAAATCAGCCCTCCCACAGTTCAGAGGCCTCTCCCATCAGCACAAATGGACCCTGAGGGAATTCAGGACAATTCTGGAACAGCGGGCTACAGGACCCTGTAAGGTTTTTGAGGCCAACAGGGAAAACCCATCCCATTAGTAGCCTGATCACCTCCTTGCATGTACTTAGTAATCTGATGTGGACTGGGTCAGATGAAACCTACATGTTGTAGTTTGAGGTTTTGCAAGGGGAGCAATACAACTGGACACATATTTTATAAGATTATTTATAATGGTCACCCAAAGAGTCATATACAAAGACAGTGCCAGAAATCTGCCCACACACTCAAGACAAAAGAATCCAGCTGAATCCAGAATCTATGCAGGACTGTTTCACAGATCTGCACTGGGAAGACCCAAAGGTCAGTGGTGGAAGCTAGAAAGTCTATGAAGGATCTGTGGGATGAAGGATCTATGCTGGCAGGCTGAGGGATCTGCACTGGAGCCAGGAAGTGACGCTCAAAGTAAGAACCAGAGCTCCCCTGAAAAGTACCATAGCTACCCTCAGCAACAGTGAGGTCATGAGCTTCTCTAATGATGAGGAAAGCTGATTTCCCATCAGGAAAGCCAACGAGAAAAGCTTCTCCAGGAGACTCAGCAGTGCACCATCTTCACCTCTGGAGCCAGGAAGCAAGGCTCAAAGTGAGGACCAGAGTGCCCCCAAAGTGAACTGAAGCCACCTTCAGCGACAACAACGTCCTGAGCTCCTTGAACAATGAGAATAGCCAAGTTCATTAGGAAAGCCAGCATGATAAAGATCCTCCAACAGAATAGCCCAAGAGAAACAGCAGCTCCCTAACAGCCTCTCAAAGAGCTTCTACCAGCTCCCAATAGCCTCTTCAGCTTCTCTCATTCTGCCTCTTATGCTGCCGGCAACAACCCTCAGGTGGGCCTCCTACACCCAGCACCACACTGGTTCAATTCAGCTGGGTGTTACAAGTTGACCACCAGCTGTCAATCCACAGCACTACACTCCAAGTAGAAAATTCGGGAGTGGCCCACAATGGGAGTACTGAGTAAGCTGCTGCAGACCAAAACTGGACCACACTGAAACCCAAAGCAGAAGAATTGGCTCAGACGGGTGCTAGGGATGTGGGAGTGACCCGCTGTAACAGAGGCTCACAGTCAGTACGATCTAGACTAAGTCAGATGAAACCTACGTCCCAAGTAGGGAATGTGGGAGTGGCCTGCAGCAAGGAAAGCTCACAGAGTGTGTTGGAACTGCAGGAGTGGCCTTCAGTGGGAGAGGATAGAGAATCCCACATCTGGATGAAAACAACTGGAAAAGGGGAGATGTATGACTGTGTGTGCAGAATAAAGTGTGTGAATCTGAAGGGTGCAAGGGAAATACATAATTGTTTGAGTGAAGTAAAGTGTGTGAGTTCAAGGTCAACTGGGCTCAGCTGGGGACTGGGGTAAGGAGGTGTTTTAATTGGTCTGAAAACAAAAGTAATTGAGAGATCCATTTGTACTACAACAGGCAAAGGCATGAAAAAGCTGCTTAGTTGTAGTGTGCTGCAGGCATGCTGATGGAGGAAGAAAAGGAGCACGCTGTGAAACAGGGTGACGACAGCAACCAGCCCAGATGGGGACAGAGACTAAATAACACCTAAGCAGCTGGCTGGTTGGAGGTTAGGCTTGGACAGAGGCACAAGGTCAAGAGACTTAGGCCCAGCTGCCCTGCTAAGACTGGAGGGATGAAGCAGGGTGACCTCTGCATTTTCAAAGTGAGCACAGAGCAAGACAGTGGCTGCAGTCCCCTCCCCCAAGGCCAGCTCTTGCTCAGTGTCACTAGCCTGGTGCTACCTGCTGGTGTCTGAAAGCCGGAACAACTGCCAGTTGGGGCTGAATGGCCAAAGTTGGGCCTAAGGAGGTTTTGCAGGAGGAATCAAATTATAAATACTAGCTATTTGCTAAATTTTGCTTCGAATTTGAGTTAATGTTTTTCCTTAATTTAAAATGTAAAACATTTCTTGTGTATTACAAATTCTTGAATTGCAATTACAGGTTTAACTTGCTTGTTTCCCTCTGCTTGCTGTTGGTTTAAGAACACTAATTCAAGGGTACTGAAAGGTTGGCAATCAGCCAAATTTACCAAGCAACAATCTGAGAAGAAAAAAAAGGGAGAAAAAAGACACTTTAAAATCCACGCAGCTAAAAAAAAAAAAAAAAATCCAAGCAGCTGCAGGTAAGTTTGTTGTAGAAAGCTTACAGTAAATGAGAAAAAAGATGTATTATTAAGAAGGGTATAAGAGATACACTTCTGATATGAGAGGATTTTGCATGACAAAGCTGGAAAGCTTATGTATATTGAGGACAAGCTTGTGAAAATAGTTCATCTAAGAAAATATGTATGGTTACTTGTTGGTTTGATAAAACTTGGGTTGTTCCTTCTAAAAATTCCCATGAAGGGGACAGTCTGATCAGCCTAAAACAGAAGTGCTTAAAAAGGTAACCTGCATCACAAGAGAGTAGGTAGGGAAGTGTCAAAACGCACCCCATTAAAATGTATGCTGGCTAACTTTATTTTTTTAGTTTTTAAATTTTTTTCTTTTTGAGACAGGGTCTCACTATGCAGTTCAGACTGGCTTTGAGCTCACTTTGTAGCCCAGGCGGGTCTCCAACTCTCACAACGATCCTCCTGCCTCAGCCTCCCAAGTGCTGGGATAACAGGCATGCACCAACACGCCTGGCTGGCTAACTTTGAAAGATGCTACACAGCCAACTATGGAGTAAAGTTGACCCCCACACGCAGAGGTTAAACACTCTTTATGAAATAGATTGGCTCTCCTTTGATGGTGATTGCCCAGCTAGGGGGGACAATTCCCAGACAATGATTGGGCATGCACACATAATCCTCACCAGGAAGCCAAACAAAAAGCTGATAGGAGGCTCAAAAACAAGTTTGTTTACAGCAGCACTCACAGGAAAAGAGACAAATCACCAAGGGGCAAAGACAAGGACGCTGACAAGAAGAAGACAAAACAGGAGCCAAACCAAACCAAAAGGGGATCTGCCATGTGACTAGAGCTAGATTGGGGGTCAATGTGTGTGATGTAGAAAAATAAGGACACTGGAAAAATAAATGCCCCCAAATGATAAGAGATTATAAAAATTCCAAAATTAGGAGGCTCCCTGCAAAAGGCTAAAACAGATACAGACCTCACTGGACTGACAAAACAAAAAGTTACCAGGACTAGGCCAGACTGGGCTCCATCTCTAGGAACTTAGGAGCTCATCGTTACAAGGAGAGTAGGGAGCCATTTGATGGACTGATGGTAGATGGTAAGACTGAATATTCAGTAATGACACAGCCCTTAGGGCTGTTATCCAGATTACGTGACTACTGTTAAAGCCACTGGGGTCCCAAAAAGAGGCCATTTTTCTGGTCTGAGAATTGTATCACAGAAAAAAAAAATAGGTCTAACGTAAGTTCCTGTATCTTCCAAACTGTCTGGTTTCCCTACTGAAGGGGACCTACTCCAAACTACAGGCCCAAATTACCTTTCTACCCCAGGGATTTAAAAAAAAAAAAAAAAAAAGACAACGCAGCATAAGGCTGACACTGAAGAACACCCCACCCAGCTGTGCAAGACATCACAGAGTAAACTCAAGCGACAAAAAGGGCTGATGGAAAATACACTGAGGCAATGGCAACAAATAAAAAAGATCCTCACACTGAAGGTGAGCTTTGAGAATGCTACTGCCAGCAAGACAGAGCCAGCACTGGAGCTGGGACACAACCACAGAAATGCTGAAAACACACTGCACAGCAAGAAACCAACAAAATGAGGCTGGAGGCTGCCTGGCAGTGACAGTTGGCAGTGGAAAAAAAAACAAACAAACAAACCAGCAGCACTGTGAGGCTGAAGAGCATATACCAAAGAACCTGACAACTGAGGAAAAAGCTGTAAGGCAGTGCAAGCTGTGCTGGAGGAAGTCGAGCAACTCCAGGCCAAGGTGAAAGAGGCCCACTGCCTGTGGGAGCAATCAGAACAAGAGTCAGCTCAACAGCTACAGCTGACCCAAGAGCTGCCCACACGTGACTACAGGCAGAGAAAACACATGAGCATGTTGGAGCGGTTACATGGTGAGACAGAGGCAACTCAGCAAGCAACTGAGGCAGCTCAAGAACATGCCAAGCATAAGACAACACAATCTCACGGTCAGGTGAAAAAGCGAGACTAAAATAGTTGACAGAGACACATGCCCAGGCCAAAGGACAAGAGGAGCTGGAAGCGCAAAAACTACAACAGCACGTAAAAGAGATGACACTGCAGAAAAAACAACAGTAGACATGCAAAAACACAGTATCTAGAAAGAGTTGCAACGTCTGTGGCAGAGTTCAGAGGCAGAAATCCAAGTCAAGACCCAACAAGTGGAAATGACAAGTCCCAACAGGCTACACATCAAAAAGGAGATCTGCATGGTATGTCTACTTCTGGAGACAACTGAGCACCAGCTAAGGATGAACTCTAGACTCTGTGTACATGGACAGAGGAGATAAAACCCCAAAACGACAAGCACAAGAGGAAGCTAAGCCCCTGCAGAGATAAATGCCAGAGGGGAGCCAACACACGCATCAAGCAGAGGCAAAACCACCTGTGTGAAGGCTAAAGCTGAGACAACTAAAACGAACAAAACAGAGGGCTCTCCAGTCACTGGAAGAACTGCAACTACAGGCCAAGGAGGCAGGAGGCAACTGTGGCAGGCAGAGCCAGCGCAAACACACCAAGTACAAGTAACCCTAGGACAACCCAATGTGACACAGAGGCAAAGCTATAAGGCAAGTGTGCCTCCTTTATTTTTTAAGTATTTTTAAACTTTTGATACTGGAAATTGAACTCAGGACCTTGCGCTTGCCAGGAAGGTGCTTGTGCTGCTGAGCTGTATCACTGGCCCTGTGTGCCTCCTCTAAAAAAAAAAAGAAAAAAGAAAAAAACTACACAGCTAAACCACACCCTGCAGGAAAAACATGTAACAATGACCCAGCTGCAGGGGGCTGGGGATTTAGCTCAGTGGCAAAGCGCCTGCCTGGCAAGCGCAAGGTCATGAGTTCGGTTCCCGGTACCGGAGAAAAACCAAAACCAAAAAAAATAAAATAAAATAAAAACAATGACCCAGCTGCAGAAAAAAAACCAAAGTGATAGGCACAATAGCAGAAAAAAGCTAAACGTGCTCATGAGAAGGCTGAACAGGGACTGGAGTGCTGACAACTAAAAGCCAGTGAGACACTGGGGCTACGGCTACAAGCGGAGGAGAGAACACAGTAATGGAGCTTGACAAAGGCCAAAGCCAAAAAAAAGCAGGGGAGACTATTTGGATAAGCCACTAAAGTGGGGAGAAAGAAGTTTCTCCTCTGGAGAGCTGACCAGAAGAAAACATTTAAACAAATCAAAGAGGCTCTGACTCAGGCCCAGCCTTAGGACTAGCAGATATAACCAAGCCTTCCTTCCTGTATGTCCATGAACAACAACCACAACAACAAATGGCCATAGGAGTCTTCTGGAGAAGACTCTGGACTTCTGGATTCCAAGTCATGGAATCCTGGAATCACCCAGTGGCATATTTGTCAAAGCAGTTAGACTCTGTAACCCTAGATGGCTTCCTGATGCAAAGCTGATGAGCTGGCTTTGGGACAACTGACTACTCGGGTGCCACATTCAGTTATAACCTTAGTGGACCAGATAGGACACCACTGGTTGTCAGTTCCCACATAACCCTGGACACAATGAATATTCTTAACCCAGTAATCTTGCTCCCACTCAAACTGGAAGTCCCCTACATAAATGTATGTTTACGGTAGGAGGGGACAACAAACAGCATATGCAACAGTGACTCTAGACTCTATGGTAGAGGCCTACCCTCTGCCTACCAGAACCTCAGCTCAGCAGGCATAGCTAATGGACTTGACAAGGGCTCTTTTGCTGGCAAAGGACAAAAAGGCTAAATCTGAACTGATGCCAAGTATGCCTTTGCCATGCTCTGTGTTCATGGAACTATACACAGGGAGAGAGGGCTCCTGACCACTGGGGGAGAAGAAATAAAACACAAAGAAGAAATCTTACAGCTCACAGATGCCAGATGGACACTGAAAAAAAGTGGCTGTTATACACTGCAAGGGACATCAACAGACTGGTATGATAGAGGCCAAAGGAAACCAAGGCAGACAGAGAAGCAAAATAGGCTGCTATGATAGCCCCACAATCCAAAAGGCGGGGGGGTCCCGGCCCTGCCATTAATCCCCGAACCCCCACTCCCGGAGACCTTAAACTATACTTTATTGTTTTTTTTTTTTTGTTTTTCTTCCGGTACCAGGAATTGAACTCACGACCTTGCGCTTACCAGGCAGGCGCTTTCAGGTGCTTTGCCGCTGAGCTATAAATGAAGACATGGTTCGCCTGGGAGTCTGGGAATTGTATCAAGGGAGGACAGTGACCTCTGACAGAAGGCTTACTATTCCTGAAACGATGGCCCCTAGGTTAGTGAGGTAATTCCAACAAGGGTCTCATCAGCAAAATGAGATGTTACTAATTCACCACTTCTACGTGCCACAGCTCACTGCCATCACTTGAGCTGTCTGGGAACAGTGCCCACCCTGTGCACAGAACAGCCCAGAACAAGGGCCCACCAGACCCCGGGGTACCCACGATGTGGGTGCTGCCCTGTGTAAGAACTTGCTCGTGGGCTTCTCTGGAGCCAGCCAGATACGAGCTGAAACCTCTACACACTGTGAGGCAGATAAACCTTTCCTCCTTTAACTTTGGGTGTCAGGTATTTTGTCTCCGCAATGAGAAAAGTAAAACACGGGGTGACCCTTCTGCTGCTTTTCTGCCCCCTACACTGAAGGACATACTGTTAACCTAAACAGGTCCCAGGGCAGAGCTGGCCTCCTCCAGGACACAGGCACAGGGTCCTGCACCTGGAGATTCACACTGGCCAGCCAGGGCCAGGCTGAGGCAGAACTTGCAGATGGGAAGCCTACCTCAATTTCCCCATCTGGGACAAACCTTTGAGGAAGCCATGGGATAAACTGGGTGCTATGCTCACAGCTCCAAAGATACCTGAGTGGCTAGTGCCCCAGCAGGCTAGATTGTGGCAGAAGGGTCAGGGGCTGCCCCTGGGTCACATACCAGCACCCTCCCTGCCCCTGCCTGTTTCCTCATCAGTATGACTAGACTGATGTGTGGGGCCTGGCCTGGGAGGGGCTGTGGGCCTCACAGCCCACCACTGGCCTTGGGCTGTAACAACTGCCCTGTGCCCCAGCTCCAGCCCCCTTCTCTCCACAGCCCAGACTCAGGAGACGCAGCCAGGGGCACAGCCCACAAAGGAACCAGAGGTGGTCTCCCAGGTTGTGGGGTCAGAGAACCACATGCAGCCCCACACAGTTGAATTAACTATGTTCACTAGGGTCTCCCGAAACTCATTTCCTGTTAGAGACGTGTGTGGCACCCCCTTCATGTCCTCCCCTCATCCTGGCCTGACAAGTGACACTGCTCACAACAGCAGTCATCTTGAGACCACAAGAGAAAGACCCAGAACTACTGAGCTGTGTTATGCTTTAGCTCTCAAATGTCCCTGAAGGGATGGAAGGGGTGGGTCACCCGGGTGACCTGGAAGGGTGTGTTCTTATCCCTGTCCTCCCTGCTCTCTGCTTCCTGGCCACCACAGGGTGAGCAGTTTTCCTTTGCCATGCCATTCTGCCACCATTTCTGCCCTGGAGTCAGCCAATCATGGACTGAATCCCCTAAAACCACGACCAGAAAACCTCTCCTTCTTAGGCTGTGGGTGTCGAGTGTTGTGTCTACAGGCACTCAAGGACAGAACTGGAGAGCATCACCCACCACAGCCCACCTCTACAGCACTGCTTCACTACAGTGAGCCAAGTGGCTGGGATCCAAACTGTCACCAGGGATCAGAGGGTGCTTGAATCCACGGAACAGGAGCCCACTCTGGAGAGCTCTGCCCCACCAGGCCCTCTGGTTCCAGCTAGTAGGGAGGGGGCCTGTGGAGAGGGGTATGGCCAGTCTTAGGGGCCCAAGGCTCCTGAGGCAGCAGCAGGGGTCCTTGGTCCCTGGGGACTGCTCCCATGTCCTATACACGGATGGGGCCCCTCAGAACTCTATAAACTGTCACAGACCCTCTCTCAAAAGTCCCTATCAGGCAGTAGTCCAGCATGATGAGCCCATCCACAGGGCAGGGCACCTAGGGCTCTACAGCTGTAGCAGGAAGGCAGGTGGGGCCAGTGGCTTGGGGCAGCCCGTGACCCACATGGTTTGGCTGCTCCCTCCTCTCACTTCCACTGACCCCACCATGCCATTCTGACGGACAGGTTTGGGTTCCTGCGCAGAGAGGCGAGCTTGGTAAGAGCCAGACTTCCAGGCAGGTGCAGGGTGGCTGCCTCCATGGCCACATCACCGAATCCTGTGCTTGCGCTGTCCTGTAGGGACCCTGTGGTGCCCAGCCTTGCCTAGAAACCTTGCCAGTCAGGTAAGAGCCAAAGGACAGCTACCCATGACTGTGCCTGCTCCTACCCACCCAGGCCAGCCCCCTCCTGTGACCCCACCAGATGGCAGTGCTGGGAGGCTGCTGTGGCCAATGTGCCTCTGGCCAGTTCCTCCTTCAGCCAGGCCTCCTAAGCTTCCTGTGGGCACCTGCACATTCCCTGGCCCACCACCTGGACGTCAGGGCCCCAGAGAGGGACATGCCACCATGCCCAAGTGGCCCAGGCAGGCCTGATACAGAACAGCAGGTTGCCCATTATGGTCTCAGGTCCTGAGCACCCCTGACAGCACAGCAGGCTGTGGACCTAGGGGAGGTGAGAGGCATGACCATGGGGGATAGGAACCCAAGTATGCCCTGGGCATGGCAGGCACCCATCCCACAGGACTCTGGGAAGGCTATCCTCTGACACAGGCTTTCTGGCCTGCATGCAGGATGGCTGCCAGGCTGCCCACCATGGTGCTGTGACACAGAGTGCTGGCCACATGCAGCCCCACTGCCGCACCTCCTAGCACAGCCACCACCCTGGCAGACCAGCACACATGCCGGTCTGTAGCACAGAGTAGCAGCCACCCCAGCCGAGCTGCTCGTCCCTGTGGAGCAGGGTACCGCAGGTCCACAGGTGTGCGGCCTCCCCGACTGAGGCAGGGTTAGCATTAGCTGCCTGAACCTCTGGGGAATGGGTGCCCTCAACACACCTGGACTTTAAGAAAACACCTTTGCAAGTATGCAGTCAGGGCTGACCTGGGAATCAAACACAGGAAATGGGCACAGTCCTGTTCAATGTGTGCGTGCAAACACCAAGTGCTGAAGCAAAATGCACTGTCTTGCCAGGCCATGGGACGACTGGCCTCAGGCCCAGCACCGAGACCACACAGCTCTGCAGCCAGAGACGAGGCTCTCACACCTCCCTCAGCTCTGCTCTGCGTCCATGCGGTCTCCATCCAGGGAGGCAGTTCAGGTGGGCACAGGGTAGGGACGGGCCCAGCGCTGGCCACCAGGAGGCTTCACAGGGAAGCCAGGTGCTGAATGTGTGAGCTCATGCATGTGCATGTGCCCTCAGTGGTCTGGTGTGGCGTGCAGCCTCTGACAGAGAGAAGCTGTGGGGTGTACATCCTGCTCTCCCTGTCCCCAAGAGGCCTCGTGGCCTGTGGGTCATGTCTGCCCTCACCCCGGTGGGCTCTTCTGACCCAGGGTCCCTGCGGGCCACACCAGGAGGCCACCCCAGCCTTCCTCAGGCTCCAACCCTGGAGCAGCTGAGCAGCAGTGTCAGTGGCAAGGGCAACAGACCATGAACCCTATGGCAGAAAAGGGACCTGGGTGCAAGAGGGCATCTGTGTGTGATCTCGAGTGTGAAATCCCCACAGGCCAGTCCAAGTACCAACTGCCACGGAACACGGGGTTTCTCTTTAGAGTGACAGAAATTCTGGAATGTGACAGAGGTGGTGGCTGCACAAGTGTGAAGATACCTAACACCACTTGACCGTGCACCTTAGAGCAGTCAATGCCAAGCTTTATGTCGTGCACCTTACAAAATTAAAAATAGTAAGGTTTTTTTTGGAGAGGCACTGAGGTTTGAACCCAGGGCCTTCACACTGAGCTACATACCAAACCCTTTTGAGACAGGTTCTCACTAAGTCACTAGGTTGCCCAGGCAGGGCTTGAACTTGCGATCCTCCTGCCTCAGCTTCCCAATATAGATGGGACTACACAATCCATCATGTCTGGCTAAAAGTAAAATAAGGCCTTGGGTCCCTGGCCTTTCCTCCTTTGTGAAGAAAGTATCATGAACACTCCATCCTCACCGTGCTGTCTCTTCTCCTGGCAGAGGTTTAGCTGAAAGGGTGTGACCCTTCCATCTGCAGCACAGAATGCTGCCCCCAGGGGTAGCCTGTGCCCCCATACAGCGCCCATCACAGGGAAGCTGTGTCTGCTGAGTGTGGAGAACTCAGAGTGGCAGCAGCTCCTGTCCTTGGGACTGCCGCGGGACAGGGATGGCTATGTCTGGGGAGCCTCGCCTTTGGTCCCGCTGAGGACTGGCCAGCACAGACTGCAACTCTGACATGCTCTCCCGCCTCCTTACTGGGCTGCTGTCCCAGGGGTGGGATGTGCAGCACAGTAAGGGAGCACCTGGGGCCAGGGGCTGCGGCTCTGCCTGTGACCAGGGTCTTGCCTCCTGGCCTGTGAGGACTCAGTTCTTCTATGTAGCAAGCCTGGTCCCACCTGACTCAGTCACACAGCTCTTGGCTCCTTCACCAACGTCCAGAGGAACCTCTGCAAGGATCCTGGGGGTCCAGCCACCTCTTGCCTGCCATGGGCATCCATGCTGGTATCTGCCACTGGGTGCTTCCCATGGCTCCTTCCCTAACAGCCTCAGCTTAGGACCGAGCAGACGGCGGGCTCTTCATGCTCACGCTCCTAGCATGAAGGCCTGTGGGGACAAAGCATGGCAGGGACAGCCATGTGCTTGCCAGCTCAGAGTGTCTACTTTATTGGCATCTGTGGCCAGAGCAGTCTGTGGCACACACGGGCATCCAAAAAAAACACCTAGGTACGGACGCTTCGTTGCACTTGACGCTGATCCCACGGCCATTGATGCCTGTCTTCCAGTGTAACACCTCCCTCCTGAGGCATGGTGGGCACAGATGTAGGCTGCCCACTGGACTGTCCCTCAGCTCCTGGGTAGCTCTCCAGGCCTGTGGTCCACATCCGTGCAGACGGGCCCATGTGGCTGAAGCTGGGGGCACCAAGGAGCTGCATGGCTGGCTGCAGGCTGCACTGCTGTGCTCTCCGCCCACAGATGGCTGCAGCAGCAACAGTGGGTCTCTGTGCGACTGATACGAGGCACGATGGTACAGGCAGGCCAGCACTCCTTGGGCAGAGCTGCAGGCCAAAGTGACGGTACAAGTCTTTCATGACAGACTTTACAAGCAAACCGAACTACAAAACACAAGAAACTTAGGACTACTTGTAAGTTAGTTCTTCACAGAGGCTGCTGGTTCTGGAGACTGAAGGAATTCGTAAGGGTCGTGGGTCACATCCTGCTGCTCCCCAACACTAAGGTGAGAAGGGCTTCCTGCGAATTGTAGAAAAACATGGCATTTCAACAGACAACACAGATTTGCAATGCCTGGGAAGCCAGCGATGTCTGTGTGACTGCTGGGAACAGAGGGTGTCCCCTCCTGGGCTCCTGGAGACCCAAGGTTGGCTGCCCAGGACCTACTATAGGCACTGCCTGGCTGACAGCCTGACCACAGAGTGAAAGGGACCCAGAGTACTGGTCCTCCTCACAGGGCTACAGCCAAGCCTCTGTGCCACCACAGAAAAATGTCAAGACTCATTCTATGCATGGGTTAATTCAGTACTTACTTCTGAAAGCAAAAAAGAATAGTATTAGGGCCTAGGGAGGTAGCTCAGGGGTAGAGCACTTGCCTAGCAGGCACAAGGTTCAGGGTTCCCTCCCCAGCACCAGTGAGAACTAAAGCATGTTTAAATGACCCCCAGGGCCAGTATCTGGTGTCCCTACAGCGAGGGGCTGCTAGTGTGGCCCTGTCTCTCCTTGAACATGAGACCCCCTGGCAAGTACAGCCACATGTTCTCTCCAACAGAAACACTGAAAGTGAAGGGCCACCAAGAATACGGCACTTGCTGACACAGACTGGAACTGGGACGAGCAGAGGAGCCGGGGACAGCTGGAGTGACACAAGTACCCTGCAGTCTGACCCAGCCCATCTTGGCAGCACTTGTAGCTCCTTGCTCTGGATCTGCACCAACCAAAGAGCTCACAGGACACAGAGGGCACAAGCACAGCTGCCTGAGGCCATGCAAAGATCCCGTGTCAGAGCCACGCTCAACCCTGGGCCTAATCCAGTGCCACACACCAGCCTTGGTCCACACTGGCTGCCACCGCCCATGCAGAGAAAGGCCTACCTGAGGGGTGCTGCTCCCTCTCAGAAGCATTGGACAGGGAGCTGAGGTTGGAGGACGGCCGGGAGCCACCTCGCTCTGCCTGCGCTTCATGCAGGTCCTGCAGGAGCTTCGCTGTCTCATCCAGGTTCAAGTGGCCATCATCGTGGTCCAGCTCCTTCTTTACCTTCCCTGTGTGAACAGAGGTCAATCGACAGTCTAGGCCACAGGGCCACTGTGCGCTGGACGCTGACCCTCTGCCCAGTATCACCACCTCCGTCAGCTCACTGCTATAGGAGCTTAGCAGAGGGTGCTCGGCTCGAGCACAGCAATGTCAGACAGGGGCCTGGGGAGCCGTGCCCAGCACCCTCCCACGAGCAGAGCCACATGGAATCCCAGCTGCCCGATGCACAAACACCGCAGGGGGGACTTCACCACAACACCAACCTCCTCAACAATGGGAACATTTCCAGAGGCCAACAGTGGCCACTCCAGCTCATGACTGGTGTCTGAGACCTGGCAGCCTCACAAAAGGCCAGAAAATATGGGCAACCTGGACAGTGCAGGACCTGTGCCCTCCCCAGTCCTAAGATGAGCCCCTGCAGACCCAGCCACAGGCTAGCTTGTTTCATGCCAGCCTCCAATCAGCCTCCCCAATTGTCTCCTCAGGGCTGATGGGTTTTCCCATGTCTCACAGAACTCAAGGAACCGATACGCCATGGTACCTCGGAGATGGCAATGGGGCACCCATGTGAGAAGCCATACAGGAAGCGCCCAGGACTCACCCAGAGAGCTAAGCATGGAGATGTCCAGGGAGACATCAGAATACGACTTCATTGACATGAAATCCAGAACAGAGCCACTGCTGTCTCCCAGAGAGTCCCCAACCTGCAGAAGACCATCATCGAGCTTAAGTGATGCCGAAACAAACACAACATGAAAAATGCTCCTTCATGCCAGCAACAGCAGTACTGCACTCTGCAGGGCGCAGACAGAGCCCTGTCCTCTGGAGCCGGTCCAGGGCCAGGGGCTCAGGTCATGAATGGACACGTGATGTGCATCTGGAAGCGCCTACTCAGAGCAGCACAGCAGTGCTAACTGTTAACAACAGGCCTCTGCCACCCTCATGAAATGAGACACCATCATGCCCAGGAAGACACAGAATCTCAAGGCCCAGGGCATTTTCCAGACACGAGGTGGTGAGTTCCAAGCTCAAGGCCTCTTTCCCTCCTCAGAGAGGGGCACCCTAGAGGGGCGCCTGCAGCCACCGGGCCTCCCTCCAACCACTTCCCTACTGTTCACCTGCCTTCAAGCCATGCCAAGGTCTCTCTCTCCTAGTGCCCAGGGCCTGACTCAGCTCTGCATCTGTTGAGGGTACACACAGCACTGCCAGCCAGGCTTTGCCACGTGCCACACTGCTCGGCAGCCCCCAACCTCCGACAGTGCCTGTGGAATTGGTGCTTTAAAATCGTTTCTGGACTTGGGAGGGAAGTGCTGTGGCTCCACCCCTGCCCCTCATGTCACCCCAACCATAGGGAGGGGCACTGCCACTGAATATCACTTGTCAGACACGAGCTGTCCCCAGTGGATGACAGAAGGCTGCGTGCTGCACCCTGCAAGGGCTGCCCTGCCCCCTCCCCACACAAATCCCATCCAGGCTCTTCACTCACTCCAGAACTCACCTTCACTTCATCCGCAGCTCGCAGGGGCACGTTCCTCCGCTGCAAAGAACAAGGTGGACACCAGTTTGTCCAGAGCAATTCTACACGAAGGACAGTTTATTCCCCTGGGCCCCACTCATCACAGCCTTGCGATGCTGTGAGTGGGGGGGGGTCCTGCTAGGCTCTATGTCAGAGGGGTCCACAAGCTCCAGGAGGGGGTATGAGGGCAGATGGGTTCCCAAGGCTGCAGCAGCTGACAGTTTTTAACACAAAAAAGGGGAACTTGGGAAAAACAGGCCCAGTGGTTTACTTTTTTGTTTGTTTGTTTGTTTTTGTTTTTCTTCTGGTACTAGGAATCGAACTCATGATCTTGCGCTTGCCAGGCAGGTGCTGTGCCACTGAGCTAAATCCCCAGCCCCAGGCCCAGTGGTTTAAACTCAGGTGTGACCAAATGCAGAGCCTTGTGGAGTGCTGTCAAGACAGATGACAGGTGTGCCAGGGCAGCCGGACCCCTGGCAGCACCTGCACAGGCGGACAGGGCTGCGCATCCTCCAATGCCTTCATCTTGTTTTGTTTTTAAGTTAAAATGCTGTGTTTATTTAACACACCTGAACTCATGATGGAAAGGTGAAACAAATACAGTATAATACACACAGTATATCAAAAATACAACCTCTCTAAAGATCACACTGTAGAAAAGGTAGGAATGACACAAGGGGGACAGGCCTAGTTTAGTCGAGAAACTTTTGCATTTGATTTTTAACTCTATATAAGTACAATAATCTCCAAAGGATTTGGCAATAATTTTTTTTCTATTTCCAGTCTTTTAAAGTCGACACAGATTTGTTTACAATAAAGCTAATCTTAAGAACACACAGAAGGTGAGCACAACAATAAATTAAACCCAGCAATCTAGAGTGACGAAGGATAAATGCCTTCATCAGAAAACTGACCGCCCCAGGTGACTACCTGAGTCCTCACACTGAAAACGCAGCAGCAGCTTAGTGTACCAACAGTAGAATTTGTAACTGTACCTTGTTCTCTATTACTTTTATCATAAGAGGGCAATTTATATGGTTAAGTGGTCTTTATAGACAACCTGCAACCATCAAAATAACATATTCTACAATAGTGTAATTATAAGGCCACAATATTTTTTTCAGGCAAACCCCTTAATGTAGTGATTTTTTTGTTTTTGTTTTCTTGAGACACTATGTAATTCAGGCTGGCCTTGAACTCACTATGTAGCCCAGGCTGGCCTCACACTCTCAATCCTTCTGCCTCAGCCTCCCAAGTGCTAGGATTACACACATACACCACCATACCCAGCAATGTAGTGATTTTAATATTAATATTATTCATTCTTTGAAATATGAAGTGTTTTAACTGAATTAAAGTTAGACATTTTTAAATACAACATATATCATAACTAGTATGTTAACATTACTTATACTATTTACATCTAATATTCAAAAAAATTTACTACTAAATTCTTACAGTACATATTAATCTGCCATGCTTATTAATTGATCCCATACATGTAACTACAGATCAGCTTAATTTTAGTGTCTATTCTTTCACTTTACTAATCAGAAACTCAGCACATACTGAATAAACAAGTGGTGCAGCCTCCCAACAATCATGGTAGCTCTTCCAAGTTAGCTGTCACAAGCTCAGACACAAATCCCCACATGTCAGCAAAGTTGGATCCAACTCTCCATCAAAAAGTGCGGGTGGAGGCTGTCAGATGCCTTCCTATGTAGATCCCAATCTGATGGCTAGTAGATGAGATAGCAACAGAGATACAAGATTCAGAAATTCTGCTGAGAAAATGTCCCTTTCTTCCTAACACTCAGGTTTCTCAGGCTGAGAGTAGCTGTGTCCTTTGGGTGTTTAGAGGAGCTCCTTGGGTTATTTTCTGGCCGACTTGACCAGTCCTATATCCAATCTGAGCTTTCCTCAAGATGCTTTCAACTTCTTTCCTTCTCTTAATATAATCCCCCTTGGTCTGAGAGTCGTTCTTTTCTCCAATACTCTGTGTATGTCTCAGAAGCTCTGTTGGTATCTTGTGGTGTCTGTGAGCAAGGTGGGCTGTCATAGTGAGAGCTCTTGGAGCTACTCTATCTGGATTCATGCTGGGCACCTAGCAGTATTTTTTCCATGCCACCATCATAGACATGAATTGAGGCTGGAATACTGCCCCTATCCCATTATTGCTAACCTGCAATTAGACCCAGGAGTCCTGCAGGTTCTCCCCTGCAGCCTGGGGCCCCACTCTGCTGGCTACTTAATTGTGGGGGTCCGTACCCAGCTGCAACAGCACCTTGGTGGTGGTCGCCCAAGAGCAGGTAGCCGTGGGCCTGCAGCTCTGCCTGCCTTCATCTCATGTGCCAGCGGAAGCATTCCTCTTGAAATGCCTTAGTTCTGTGCTGATTCCTCACAAACAGGCATTCAGTGTGCATATCCACATCTGTGATCTTTGTCTCCAACACAGCTGCTCTGTTATGCTGCGACTTCCACCAACTTTGCATTACAAACGTGGCCATCATTTTAAGGTCTCTTCATTCATAAAAGGTTTCTGGTGTACTATACACTTTATCATTTAATGCCACGGAGCACCTGGAATTATTCAATGCTAATGCCAGCTTGCTCACTCTCAGAAAACGAAGTTAGGCTGTAGTCCACAGCTAGCTGATAGCATGACCTCATGTCAGGGCCACAGGGAGCAGCTTCCTCCTGCTGTACTGCAGGCAAGGGGATGCGCGCTGAGCCTGGCAGCCCACCTGCACAAGCATGAGGCCAGAGCAGGCGCCGAGCTCACAGCTGGGGTGGAGCTCAGAGAGGGCTTGCGGCAGGCAAGGGTGAGACTCCAGCCGGAAGAGCCACCATGAGTGTCGTGAGAGCGCACGTGGACAGAGGTCCACCCAGCCAGCACAGAGACCCCACAGAAAACTGGCCACCAGAACAGAGCCAACGTGCCACTCCTTAACACCGAGGCTGAGCTGCCCTACATAAAGGCTACCCTAGGCCAGCCCGACAGTGTCAAATGACAGCCAATAACCTAGCTTTCTCTCAGAACAAATGTGAATATCCTTCAAGGCAGTAAAATCCAACCAGTGCTGGGCTAGGGGTAGCTCCAACGTTCGGTGCCTGCCCAGCACACACAGACCCTGGGTTTGATCCCTACGACCTAGGAGGAAGAAACAAATTCAACAGCCTTGTTCAACAGAAATACACTGCAGTACACATCTAATTTGAAAATTTCTAATAGCATATCAAGAGCACTCTTAACATGTAATTAATTATAACACTTTGCTTACTTGATACACAGAAAACCTTTTTATCCTAACAGATAATCCATGTATTAAAATAGTTAATACATTTCTTTATGTTTGCTTTGTGTTGGTCTTTAAAGTTCTTGCTCATGCTTAGTCATATCTCAATTCTGACCTGCATATTCATAGTTCTCAGAGGCTGCACATGACTGGTGCCTGTTACCACCCTGTGGGTCTCAGTCCTGGCAAGGCTCTGTGTCCAGTCAGAGCTGTGGGTACACAGGAGCAGCCAGGGATGATGGACAACCCAGGGCAGGTCCAGGGATGAGGGCTTCAAAAGCAGTTGCAGTAAACATGAACATGCTCAAGATTAAAAGGAAACACAAACATGACGCAAGAGCATGAAAGATGTGACAAAGAACCAAAGGGAATCCTGGAGATAAAAAACTCAGCAAGAGGATTGATTTGGGAAAGAAAACTAAGCCAACGCCATTTTGTGTTCTAGTGCCACTTTAAAGTGCAAGTTTCTGTTTCCTTAAGTTTGTTTCTCCTAAACGTTGTCATAGCTACCTAACCCGATACCACCCTATGCTCTGTCATAAAACTGCTTGTCCCCTATGTAAAATGTCAAACACCTTTGTTTCTTTGTCATAAGCTAAGCCCACGCTTTGTAGTATTTCTGCAGCTGCACTAAATCATATCAGCACCACCCCTCTGGACCCGGAACCAGACCGGGAACTAGAACCGCGTAACTCTCCTCCCCTCCTGTCCTTTGGGCTTGGTGCTCGGTCATGCACTGAGTGCCCACTGCTGGCCCCCAGTAAACTTGTCTGTCTCTGCATATGGCCTCTGAGTGACTCAATGAAGTAAGCGCATTTGCCACAATAGGACCATACACAATGAACATGAAGTTTCTCTATCAGGTAATTTTTTTAAAGCCAATGAGAAAAGAGCAGCCAAAAGTCATTCTCCAAAAGCTGCTCTGCCCTGGGAACCAGGCAGGTGAGATGGGCTTTTTTCCAAGGCGCAAGGCCCCAGGAGAGGCCACAACCCAAGCCTCCGTTGCATCCCCCACAGAGCCCACCTGCTTCAGCTGGAGGAGCATCCGTGAGTGGTCTCCACCTGTGATCTGGTCCAGGAGATCATCCACTATCTTCTTGCTGTAGCTCCCAGCATCTTTCACAAACTCCTGCAGGCTGGAAGAAGACCGTAAGAGGGACAGGGTGACAAAACACGTCTCTAATCTGGAGGCCCTGAAGTGCCAGTGATGGTGGTCCTGACTAGCAGCTGCTGACCATGCCTTCCACACTGTAAGCTGCTGGTGACTCTCGGCATTCATTAGACTGTTACCGTGATCTGCAACCAGAACTGGCTGAAAGGCTCTCCAGGGAATTTTGAAAACCATAGTGGGAAGTAGTATACACACAAAATGTGCACGTGATCTTTATAAACAGTGACACATGCACTGACTTCTGTAGGTGGAGGGCGCCCACACCTCCTGGTCTGGGCTCTAAATCATGAACAGACTGGAACGGTATTGAACTGAGTGTAGCAGCACGTGGGAGTAGTACTGGTGCACTAATAAATTTTAAGAAGTAGGCAGGGAAAAAAAATCCAGTCTTAGAATCAGCACACCAACCATGGCCTAAGGGCTCCACAGACTTCAAAGACCTGGAGGACACGGAGGAACATAGCTGCTAGCCTGGAGCTCACCTAGGAAATGGAGCCCCAAGCAACCTAGCCCTGCATCAACGATGCTGCAACCATGACTGCAGAAGGCCGTGTGGCCCCTCCCAGAGAGGACTAAAGGCTTGTATGGGGTCTTCAGATGGGCGATGAAGGTAGGGGTCCTAGTCCTTCCAGGAGAGCTGGTCAGGACACACAGGCATTACCAGAGGGAAGACCAAGGAAACTAGGAGAAGATAGTGCCTATGCAGACCAAATCAAGCATGCTGACACCTCCATCTCAGACTTCCACCCTGCAGGACTATGAGGATAAACACTGCTTATACCCCAGCTGCAGAACTTTGTCACAGCAGCCCTAGTTGACTCACATAATCACTAAGAAACACATTCCAATATGACTGTGAAACAGACTCCTACCAAGCACACTCAGCACAGTACAGAGATTCTTCCATGAAGCTGAAGCCTGGATCATCACCACCTCAAAACTGTGGCCCATGGCAGGCCAGGGTGAACAGCTGGAGATCATGTGGAATTTTTGCTGCCCTTGCACCTGTGGCCTGAGCTGCTTCCCTACAGACCCACAGAGGTGGGCTCCAAACCACATTCTGGGAAACTGCATGCACCACACAGCAAGAGGGCTCAGGTAGGGCCACCCGCGAGCCAGGCTCACCTCAGCGCACACTGCACACCTGTCTCGTCTCCATAGGCCGAATACAGCAGCTCCATCTCATCCGACTTCAAGTCACCAAACACACAATTATTCTGCATGGAGAGGGCACTGCTGGCACTGGAGAGGAATGTGACTGAGGAGGAAGAACAAGGGGCACCATTTCAGGCGTGGGGCACACAGTGTGGCCATGTGCAATTCTCTTCCTGGTTCCCATCCCTCCTCTCCCTGTCTCCACGAAGCAGCACTGGTACCTGTGTACCAAGGGGCACAATCCCCTCTGGCAGATGCTGTGGGAACCAAGCCTAACAGGGCTGACCCTGCCCAGGGGACATGGAAGTTAATCCACTTAGCAGGAGGCCCAAACAAGAGAGAATTTCAACACCCATAGCAACAGAGAAGAGCATTCCAGAAACAAGCATTCCAAACACTCGAGCCCAGGCCATGGCCATTCCATTGAGGGGGAGATGGCACATTTCCAAGGAGCTGCCTGAGTGGGGTGACACCAAGCTGACCCTCCAGGGCATCTTACCACAGCATAGGCAGGGACGTGCAAGAAGCAATAGACACAAGAAAGGGGGATGATGGAGACATATCCTGACCACCAGAAAGGGTGTTCTGAAAAAGCTCCAGGGACAGTAAACCCACAGAAATGCTAATCCAGGGAGGGTGAATCCAAGTGTTTACTGTATGTTTTTACCACATTTCTGCACCTTAAGAGTTAGAAAAGACTTCCCTGAGGCACATCCAGATCTGTGAGCCCAGATGGCTACACTGCCTCTAAGGGAAGGAAGAAATGCTTCTCCCTCCTCAGGGAGGGCCACCAAGGAACAGCTGCCTGGCTGCCAGTCTCACAACACGTGCACTGAAGCACATATCGGCACCAAACAAACTTACCACAAGCACACACACAGGAAAACATGCATGCCCCAGAGCAAGCCAAGACACTCACACATGGACAAAACACACATGTGCAAGAGCAAACAGCAAAGGAACTCGCTCAATGCAACTTTCATCCCCATTACTTTAACTGGTCTCAGTTTTAAAACCTGAATCTAGACATAGCAATAAAACCATGCGAGAAAACTCTTCAAGGGACTAGAGATTTTAGCATCTGCCACACCAGCCACATCTTGCCAGCCTTTGACTCTGGGGCCTTCTCCACACAGTCTCCACCAGTACCTTTGTTTCTCCTCTCATCTTTGAAGCCCAGTGTTGTGAAGCCTGGGAGCAGCTTGCTGGAGAGTGAGCTCAGATCCACAGGGTGCGTCTCCTCTTCTGTGGGGATATGAGAGGTGTGAAGGGACCACAAGCTGCAGCATAGGAACTAGGGGGCAGGGGACAGAGACTCTAGAAAGACGATGTAAGAACAAGCTTACAAAGGAGAACCAGCATTCCACAAAGTACTTGCAGCAATTTCATTTTGTAAGTACCCAGAGGTGATAAAACAGAATTTGTTGTGTCTCTGGCCATCATAGCAGCAGTGTTTAACATTTCCAAACTGCCAGCTCCACACCTCGTGGAGGAGACCTAGTCTGCCTTGTGTCCCCATCTGCTTGTCTGCCTGACTGCTGGCCTGCTACACTGTCACACCACGCATTCTTGATGGCCCTCAACTCCACGTCATCTAACCTATGAGCTGATTGCTTCATCTTCTCTGTGGAGAACACCACAGTACATTCCTGCTAAAAGTGACAAGGCAGTGAATGGAAGGTTGGGGACGTGGGGAGTCACCCCTCTTGCTGAGACACTGGCAAACCTGAGCCAGCCTTGGCATTCTCCTGCCTGAGGGTGCCTGTGGGTGTGCCTCAGTCCAGAGGCTGCATGCGAGGATAGCCTCTGCTCTGAGAGAGGATGTATGGCCTCGTGCAGCACTCCCACCACAAGCACCCCAGCAGCCCCTGGGGCGTGGCCAAAGTTCCAGCCTTTAGCTAAAGCTGCCCCAATGCCCAGTGCACCTTGGCTGCAGGGCCCACACACATGGAGGGGCTGCCAAGAGCATGCACAAGAGCAAGAGGCTGCAGGGCTGCTCTGCTGTCCTTCCCAGCTGCATGGATGTGCAAACAGGTCTCTGACCATGAGGTCAGAGGTGGCCTGCAGGCAGCAGACAGATGGCAAGGGAGGGGACGAGGTGGCACTCACCATCAGCATCGGGCTCAGCTGCATTCACCACACTGTACAGCAAGCTCCCATCTCCCAGCTTCCTCAGGTAGCCCATCTGTAAGAATAGCACACCATGGGCAGGCCCTCTGTGAGCCTCCCAGCGCCACCCCCTTGTGTGGGCTCCGGACTGAAGCCTGCCTGCACACATGTGTCGTGAGAGCACTGCTTGGGACACCAGACCTTCCACTCAGTGCTTCCGAAACAACACCCTGCTAACTGTCCCTAAGCCCAATCAAAGAGACCCGGGCAAGCCCACAGGGGAGAGCATTATACCATTGGCCACCTGCAGGCTACCAAATAGCCACCACCAAGAAGATGCCAGGAGACGAGGCAGTGGTGTGGGGAGGGACAAGAAGGAATGCATGTGTGAGGCAGGAGGCAGGATGCTCCTGTGAAGAGTGGCTGTGACACAGTACACACGCAACCCTAACAAATGGGGAGGTGCCGCACGTGCTGCAGAGGGAGCCTGGCCTACAGGAAGCCTGGAGGACAGGGCCTCCACCAATCAGTAGGGTGGAAAGTTGGTCAGCATGTGGCCCTGACTACGTGCAGGATGCTGTGAGGACACAGCACTCCACACTCCTGGTAGCTCTGCCCGTGGTGCCTGGGCTCTTGCTGAAGAAATGAGGAAAGAAACATGGAGCCAACCCAGCTCCTGGCCTGGACACGGCTGTGGTGCTCCCATCAGATCCTATGGTGCCATGGCGACAACCAGACTGACGGCTGTGCCTGGTGAGAGAGCCACATGAATGCTTGCAGCCAAGTGGCTACCTTGCCTCCTGGCAGGAACCTGTTGATCCTGTCTCGTGCTTCATCAGCTGCGTGTTCCACCAGAGCCAGGACATGCTCCTCCGCAGTGCTGTCGGTCAGGCTGCAGGCATTTCCTTCTGGCTCAAACATGCAGCTGCAAGGCAGGGACCAGACATCACTCGGGGCACTGTCCTGCACTAAAAGTCAATCCCCAGCCTGGGTTCTACCCACACTCCCCACACATGGCTGGCAGCAACCTGGGGTACACCCTGACTCCTGTGTCTTGTTTTGATCACAACAAAACAGGCTGCCTTCTTGGAATGAAGTCAGTGCAGGCCAGCACCCTCCTAATCTCCATAGCTCACTTCACACTTTTGTCACCATGAGAACAGAAATAAAGTGATGGACACTGCCTGGTTCCCCTTAGGAGGAGCAGCAGGACTCCCTTTGTGGGCTGGGCAAGGTTCAGTGGTTGTCCCACGACCCCCACAGAGCAGTTTCACTCAAACAGCCAAGGGCTGCTGGACACAGCACTTGAGGAGGCGCCTGTCTCCTGTAGAAGGTGGAGAGGTGATGGCCCCTCCTTGCCCTGAAAACAGACCCTGCCCTGCGAGCGCTGCCTGGTCATCCATGGAGCAGACACTCTGGAAATCTGCATAGTAAGAGGCTATTGTGAGTTGTGGTTCAGGGCCCCTCAGTACTGGGGCTGAACACATGTGGCCCATGATTTAACTGCCTACGGTGTCAGGTAAACGTCAGTTCCAAGGCCCAGACTGAGATCTGGAAACACGGAATCAACACTGCAGCTTTATCACTGCCCTCAGGTACTAAATGGCAAGACTCTCCATTGTAAGTCAGGGGACCAAGAGGATCAGGAGGGCCACTGTCTCCTATGTCCATCAGTGTTCTAGTTAAAATGACAGTGGCAGGACAGAGCAGCACCAGTGGAAGGCATCCAGCCACCGCACCCAACTGTCTGCAGGCACCTCTGGGTGAACTGCTGACAGGGCCATGAACACGGTCCTCACGGTCTCCGGGCTGGGCAACTGCTGGTCTGGGAAGGCATTCCAACCCAGGCCGCACGCAGGTCTTCCTTGCCCCCCGCTCAGTAAAGCTCCCGCTCTCCTAGGCACCACGCCTCCCACACACCTTACCTGATGACTTCTCTACTCGGCTTTTTGGATTTCTTGGCAGTTTCTACTTGCACTGGGACAACCTCAGGAACAGGCTCCTCAACGGCCGTGTCCTCGCTGCCCAAGAGAGCCGCCTGCTGAGAGAAATCCATGTCCTGCATAAACGACATGCTGCGCTTCAGAGCTAACAGCCGCTCCTAGAATCAGAAAGGAAGAGCAGCAGGACTTTACCTCTCCCTCAGCCACAGAGCCTGCCGATGGCATGGGATGGATGGGCACGCCTCCCCTGCCTGACCTAGTGCCCAGGCACTGCCATGGGCGGCTGTGGGGCTTGGTGCCAAAGGCACAGCCCAGAGCTGGAGGGGGACAGCCAGAGCACAGCAAGTGGCCCTGCCTGCAAGGGACACATGCTCCTGGCTCACAGCAGACTGGGACCCACTCAGGACAGCCAGGAGGACAAGCATGTACCACCTGGGTTCCAGGAGGCCGCCACAAGCAAGCCTGCAGGACAAGCTTAAGCAAGCCTGACTCCCAGACCCAGCACTTTCCAGTCCCACAGGAGGCAGCACATGAGCCACAGGCAGGGGCAGGAGCAGTGCCTAAGGAGAGGGCAGCCCTGGAGCAGAAGGTCAGCCAGGGGGGCACGGATGGAGCATGTCATTCACATGAATCTGATGGGCACAGAAAGTTAGAACACAACTGTGGCTCTCTGGCTCACTGTGTTAGTGGGTTTCTTACTTTGCTCATCATCTTAAAGCCTGCGTGGAGAATCTTCTTGGCTAACTTGTAGTACACAGTGTCTGGTCTATTGTAGGTCATTGCATTATCACACATCAGTTTGAAATCTGCCTGAGAAGAAATAAAAGGATTTCGTCAAGTTTGAGATGCTACATGGACAACTGCAGAGTCCTCCATTCCCATCGAGAGGCCAAAAGAGAAGGGCTGAAATTGAGTGGAAAAGAAACTTGGCTCTTTCATCTTAAAGTAACTTTTATGAATTCAAGAGATTTGGAAGTTGCTCACAGGTCAATTGTGTGAAAAGTTTTCCAGGGAAAGGCTGACCAAAGCCTCTGGTGTCTGAGGCTTGGCAATCACACGCATTTTGTATGTATCCTGTGCTTCCTCCCCCCATGAGCTCCCTCCCACTTCAGCAGAGATCTGGACACAACAGGAACGAGAAGTAACACATCTGGCACATCCTCTGCCTCTGGGGTTTTTCCATCCAGAATTTAAAATTCGATCCACAGAAAAATACCTTCTCATAAGTGAGGGCAACCTTCCTAACAATTTAGGGAAAAAATGAATCCCTTGAAAAAGCCTGGTACTTAATTATCACAAATTTCTCAGCAGGTGCCTCCAGCAGACAAGCTGAGCATTGGTATGGAGACACAGGCCCCACTGTCAAGTGCCCTCACCTTGTCACTGCTCTGGGCCCTGTAGGGCAGGCTGAGGTCATGAAGCACAGGCCCTCTCTAGTTGTGGACATGTGCTGGAGGGGATGCTGCTCACTCCTGGGTCTGTCACTCAGAGTGACATGTTGGGGCCACAGCTAGGAAATGGAGAGGACCCGGCATGAACTGCTTAACAAGCTGCTCTCAACCGACGCTCCTAAGGAGCGTGCCTTTCCTCCACACGCCCTTAGGGCTGCCATGTTATTTCTGAGTCAGTATATCCTTCACTAAACATAAACAGAAAGGCTTTTCCAGAATCACGCAACCCAAGAAAGAAGACTAATGCTCTTTCCCAATACTAATGCTAACATCACCAAGCATTACCTTTGCCTTGCTCCCGGCTGCCAAGCCAGTAATTGCCAAAACTAAAAAGCATAGCTAAAAGTAAAGCAATAGACACAAATATTCTAAAAATAATAAATTAAATGCCCAAGTTTACAAGACAAGCTAAAAATCAGGAAAATCATGCTTCTAAAAATACCCATTCTTGAACCAGGCCAGCCAAACTGGACACATTATTGACTGATCTACACCAGCACAGTAACTTTAAACACGCCAGGCAGAGGAAATGTTTATCAAATACAGAGACACAGACATAGACACACACAGCTTTGTCACAACTGTTTCAGAAGATGATATCTAAAATAAAAGAAATTAATTTACCTTAAATTCTGTGACTGACTTGTACTCATTAGCTACAATTTTGTCTTTCATTGTGCCAAAGTCCATTGGATGTTTTATTATCATTGAATACCCAGGAGCAATCGCATCCGTCACAGGAAAAGCAAAAAATCCATGAGGATCTTTTCTGAAAGCAAAGGCAACTTTAAAATGGAACATTCAAAAGTCTAGATTTTGAACTAACACAAAATTCCCTACAATCTAAAATTTAATACAACTAACCAAGTTTTAATTTTGCTTCTTAAAAGTAAAAAATAACAAAATGAATGTTTTCTAAGATTGTTGAAGGTGTTCTGATGTGATAAATACCCCACCACCATTGTCTGGGCTCCCGCCCTGATAAGCAAGGCCAAGCCAGCTGCTGTGCACCTCATCCTACTGCTGACAACCTCCAGGGCACAGGTGAGGCATCCATGGCTCTCCTGCCTGGCCCCGCCTGGAAGTTGTGGCTTTTACCTCCCAGCGCTCACCCGCCCCCAGTGCATGGTGCTACCCACTCAAGATGAAGCCTGTGTGCCAGAGGGTGGGCTGGGGTGGGAGTGACACCTCAGCAAAGGAAGGTGACACCCCATAGGTCCCCTGAAGGCCCCTCTAAGCACCAAGGCAGTGTACCTCTGAAGCTGGCGGAGGAAGTGCTCCAGGAGCTGCTGAATGGGTGTGCTCTCGTTCTCCGCTAGCAAGTTAAAAAGAAAGCAAAAAAGTCAAAATTTAGCAGGAAAATTCTGGTATCACTTTGTTGAAGAATTTCAATTTCAACTCCAATTCTTAGTTACGCTTGGCGTTGCACAGCATTGTAAGTCAAAGCAGGAAATGAGGACGTAAAACGAGACCTACAACACGACTCCCATGAAGCTCAGAGGGTGGGAAAAGCTCTACCACACCAGTCCCTAAGGCCCTCAATTCCCCCAGGGAGCTGCCACTCATCCAGCTGTTCCCGGCTCCCACCACCATCAGGCCGGGTACATTCTAGACAAGGTACGCCAGGAGCAAGGCCTGGACATAGGGGTTGACCCTGGATCCCTCATTATTTACTCACTAGAGAGAGATTACTCAACCTCTGGTTATGCCTCTCGTCCTCATCTGCAGAATGGGGATGCACTGACATCACACAGGGGCTGTAGCTGCCACCTTCATCTCCGGCCCACCGTTAGCCTGACAGAGATATTCTGGACTGACCAGGGTCTGCCCAAAAGCACTGGTCATCACTAACTGAGGTATCTCAAGGTCTGCAATGGGTGCAGAACATCAAATGGGCAGTTAGGCAGATCAAGCTAGCAATTTTCAGTAACTATGTGGGCTTCACAAACGGTCTGTTTGACTCCTGTTTTGTGTCTGACCTTATTTACCAACAACCCCAGGAACCACCCCACCCCACCCCACCCCCAAGTGCTACTGTTCACCACGGCAATGATCTCCATGGGGAGAGGAGGTACCAGGCAATGGCACTCCTCCCTACAGGTCAGCAGCAGCACCCCCCACCAGTCTCCTTAACTCAGAGTGGGTCAAGCCCACAGTCAAAGGGATATGATCCAAAGAGAAAAGTGACCAGAAACCAAGTTGTAAGCACTGCAGGACTCTCCCTTGAGTGAGCCAGAACACACTTCTGATGGCAAGAATAACAGATCCCAGCTCTAGACTCCCTCTGGCCTGTCTCTGATGTCCTGTACTCCAACCCCCAGCTGTCTTGATTTCCCCGCCCCTCTGGAAACCAACAGACACTGCAAATCACTAGGGGGAGATAAAGTTTGCCCTAAGCACAAAGCCTCGGCAAGGTGGACTGCAGCAAGACTGCAGCTGTGGGCAACACTACCGGTAAAATCTACCCAGATATCATGGCAAAAGATACTCAGGAGCCAAATCTCACCGAGGACTCCAGCTTCCTCCATTTCCACCTAGGGTCACTTGAAAGGACTCCAGACCCCTGCTCTAGATAAAGGCAGGAACCACAGGTCGAGGGGTCGCTGGTAAGGGCATAGAGATGGCACCGGGCAATGGACCCTAGAGCATGCGTGTCTAACCACGGCAAGCTCTGGGAATGGGGTCAAGCTCTTGCCTGGCTGTGTCCGGCACGCTCGCACTGGCCGGTCTGGGGGCGGCTCCACCTCCACCTTCTTCCCAGGGTCGAAGTCTTCAGCCTCTCCTTCTGTGTCACAGTGCTCTTTCTCTCGCTTTCGCTTCTTTTCTTCCTGAAGTCAGAGGAGAGGCAGTGCAGTTGGGGTGCACCTAGACCGGACAGCACCCCTCTGCTGTCTCACAGCTTCCTCTCCTGGGGACCCTCCCGGGGCACACCCACACCGGACAGCACCCCTCTGTTGTCCTGCAGACCCTCTGCCTTCCCGCAGTTCCCTCTTCTGGGGACCTTCCTAGGGTGCACTCACACTAGACAGCAACTCTCTGCCATCCCGCAACCTCTTCTCATGGGGACCCTCCTGCGTTCCCTTGCTCCTGGATCCCCACCAAAAGGACAGCCACCGGCAAACAGACTCTGGCCAGGTGGCCACTGCTCTCACTACCTTCCGCTTCCTCCTCTCCTCATCATCCAGGTGCTTCTCTTTCTCCGCCTTCTTTTTCTTTTTCTTCTTCTTCTCCCGGTGCCTCTCCCGCTCGTGGTCTGATCTGTCGTCGTAGTAGCTGGAGTCGTGGCCGGACCCCGAGAGCTCGGTCACCTCGCTGCCGCCGACCTTGAGCACCAGCTTTAGCGGCTTCTCCAGCGGCGCGTCCGCGTAATCTGCACACGGACAGAACCACAGCACCTTCTGGGACTGTACGACCCTGGGACCGTGCCACCCCAGAGATGATAGGTGCGGAAGACAGCGCCGGGAGGCGTGAGTCTGCTCCAGAGCCCGCCCCGAGCCGGCGGCCGCACCCCGCGACCCAGCCCCTCGCTTCGAACCCGCCCGCTCCTTCAGGCCTGCTCCCGGTGGCCACACCCTCGTAGGACGAACGCCACTCGGCTTTGTGTTTCTTGTGCTTCTTTCCCATGGCTGCGACAGCAGACGCGGGCTACCGACCCGCGGGAGAGGAGCCACCCGAGCACTGATTTGAGCCCGTCGGAAATGGCTGCGCCGCCGCCGAGCGCTTCCGGGTCGGGAAGGCTGTACGTCGTGCGCTTCCGGGTCAGAGGGCGGTGCGCCGCGCGCGGCAGATTCGAAGCAGAGCAGGGCGGGGCGGCGCCGAGCTAAGGTGCCCGGCGGGCCGATAGGGGAGGTGGCGGAGCTCCACCCGGTCCTCGCGGCTCCTGGGGCGGCGGCGGCGGCGACATGGACGAGGCAGTGGGCGATCTGAAGCAGGCGCTGCCCTGCGTGGCTGAGGCCCCCGCGGTGCACGTGGAGGTGCTGCAGCGCGGCGGCAGGTGAGCAGCGGGGCCCGGACCCGGACCCGGACCCCGGGGGCATTCCCCCCGGCCGAGGCCGAATTGGAGCAGAGTCCGGCGGAAAGGCGGCGAGGGGCCAGGATCAGGGCCGGTGTTAGGGTTAAGATTAGGGTTAGGAAGGCCGCTGGCCATAGAAGTGGGGTTGGAGGAGCTGCTGCCAGGCTCTGGAGCCGTGAGGGCGGGGGGACCTGCCCCTGGGAAACTCAGTGCTGGCTTCCTGCGATCCCGCAGCCCTGGTTGACTAAGGGCAGGCTCTTGTCTTCGTGACAGTACTGAATGTGTGGCTTCATCTTCACCTTAGCCCAAGAGAGCAAGAGTCCTGGTGTCCCGCTTTTCCAGTGGGGAGTGGAGGGCGGCTTCCGGAGGGTGCAGAGCTGGTGGTGGGACAGCAGGCCCAGGTGACCCTGGATTGGATCCCTAGGTGGGCACATGATCCGCCTGTCCTTAGCTCATGAATTTTTTGTGTATGGTCTCAGTTTAAGTGTTAATTTTTTAAAAAGGAACTTAGATCGTTTGTGTGTATTTTGTCTTTTTTAGCACTGCAAAAAAAGAAGACATAAAGTTGAGTGTTCGCAAGTTGCTCAACAGGCATAATATTGTGTTTGGCGATTACTCATGGACGGAGTTTGATGAACCTTTTCTGACCAGAAATGTACAGTCTGTGTCTATTGTTGACACAGACTTAAAGCTTAAAGACCCTCAGGTAATTTACTGATTGGAGGTGCTAGTGACAGTTCACCAGAGCTGGTATCATGACTGCCTGTCACTGCTTGAAAAGTATGTTTGTTATTTGCTAATGTGTGGGTTTGGGTGTAGACAAGTTCTTACTGTCTGTCCTGGAGCTGGGTCCTGATGTGAGGCTCTGCCCGGGTGTCAGGATGCTGTGAGTGGAGCAGAGGACAGACTGGAACCCGGGGGTTGGAATGCAGCTTGCAGGTAGTGGGCTGTGCTGCTGAGGCCTGTGCATCTGTCTCTGTCAGCTAAGTGGTCCTGAAGTGCTTGGTGAATGTGTTAGGGCTGCAGGAAGTGTGGAGGTTATGGTGAGATAGGCTCCCTGTCTGGAAGCTCTTTGTTGCCTCCTGTGCGTGGGCTGCATGCCCTGCCATCTTTCTGAGCCTATTTGTGGAAGCTGGGGTCTCTCTCAGAGCTGGATACATGGGGGCCATCCTGCTACCAGCATAAGAATAACCAAAGATGTGTCCTATGGAAGAGCCTCACGCAGCACTGTATGGATTGCCACTTCAAACAGTGGGCTTGGCACTGAAATCTTGCTTGTGACATGCACTTCCTCATACGTCTTTTAAGACTGCAGCATAGTAAGAGTCAAAGCCGTCATCCTTGGTTTCGGCCATCCTGAGTTGAAGAGAAAAGCCCTCCAGATAAGCACAGCCCAATTGGAGGGTTTAGGGCTGGCCATGAAAAGTTTTGATAATCTCATTTTGACTGTAGATTCACACAGACAAATATTTGTTGCATATTGTTAGCACAATAATGTAAAATATCTTGCCACCATTTACCAACGAGAGATTGGCTAAGCAAATTTGATACATTTATATTAAACAGGATGTAGCCATTAAAAGAAGAGCTAGATTTTTATCTACTGATGTAATGTTTCCAAGCTGTATTAAGAGTGAAAAGGCACAGTCAGAAAGCGACATGTGTTCTCCGTCTCCATCAGTCTATCAGTCTGCATCGATACCTTAATCTTGGAGCTCGATCATGGTCAAGGAAATGGTCTAGCCAACAAAATTATTCAAAATCTCTCAAATCCTGTGCTTGAAATTTTTGGACACTGAAAATTTTGGACATTGATTAAAGTAACCACCTAAGTTATGTGACATCACCATGTATACGTAGGCTACCTGTGCATTCTGTCACACTAAGTTCTTCCTTTGATGGCTGCTTCAGTCACCCCAGTGGAAATCAGGTACTCTATGGTAAAACAAATAATGGTGTCTCTTAACAAAAAGAGACACATTATTGGTGTCTTTTTGTTAACTCCCAACCCAAATGGGTTTGTTTTTCTCCTGTTCCCTGTCTTTCTATGCATTAACCTCAAAGGAGTCCTAGCACCTACAAAGTTCTCAGAAAAGATCCAGACACAGAGGCATTCTTCATCCTATAGACTTAGGATCCAGTCACAGGGCAAAGAAACAACAGTCATTTGAACAGGAAATAGCCAATATGGTGAATTATTAACTAAACCTGAAAATTTAAATAAGGATTGGCTAGTACAAAAAGAAAGGTAACCTCGAGGAATATGTAGTAGTATCAGAATCGTGATAGCAGATACAATGTTATGTAAAATTATAAGTAGGAACCACTAACTCTCAGGGAACGTGATTTGCCTCAATTGTGATGTCTGTTCAAATTTTGGTTATGTTTTCTCATTCATGCTGTTATTTTCTGGTCATGGGATGACACATAGTTTTCTACTAAGTCCTAAGTATCTGTGGAGTTCCTGGTGGGTATCTGTTCCGCGTCCTGCCAGGTCCTGCTGGCAACACACAGGCCAGTGGGGTGCTGACTCACCCTAGACTTCAGAGATGTGTAGGGGACAAACAGGCATCACTCTCCGTGGGAGTGAGTAGGACCTCCTGCTAGGCTCACTGTTGCCAAGAGAAGGGAGGAGATGGCATCTCAAATCACTGTTGTTGCTTGGTGAGATGGAAGCTCAGCGCTCCATGGGCCCCAGTGCCCCACAGGATGAAGAAAGCAGCGTGCCCCACTGGCCTGGCCCTCATCTTGTGCTGCCTTATTGGTGTTAAATTGGTGGGGGCTCAACTCCCCATTGGGTAGGCCCCTGATCTTCTCCAGTAAGAGAGACATGGGTTTCTTATGTACATGATTATATCTTATAGCTGGGCAGGCAAATTACAAACTAAGACTGGATCATTTTATAGTACCAGCAAGTTATGGAGGGCTTGGAAACACCAAAAGGTTTGAGACATGTCAGATGGAAACAGGAGCCAACTCGAATTAGCTCCAAGTGGACAAAATCTGAAATAATTGTACCAATAGAAAAGATATTTAGTAATAGGTCATAACCCAACTATATCTCAGTCTGTAGCGAGACAAGTATGTGATTAGATTAAGCAAATGAGAGGGAAGAAATAAAAGTTCCTTATAGGAGATTTTCAAATTGTGTATGTAGGTCTCCTCCCAAGGTAGCACCTCATTCCTTCCTAGTCCTCACCTCACTCTCCCACTTCCAATGAACTGTGGAATGGGAACTTCCCAGTAGAAGTATCCCACAGCCCGCCCATAACCAAGTAAGCAAGGCTAAAATCATCGGCTGTGTTGTGTGTATCATGTACTGCTGTAAGGAGTGACCCTTCACCTCTGCTGCAGCTGAAACTCAATATCCTGGTCTAATTTTGAGAAAAATGAAAGCAAAACATTTGATGGTTCCAAATTGGAAGACAGTCAAAAAGATAATCAACTACAAAAAAAGAAATGCAAAACTACAAGGTCGGCTTGACAAATACAATCACTGATAACTCCTTTTTCGCATACAAATCAACTATATTTTTGGACTTTAACGTCTAATTAGCTAGAACTGAAAAGAGATATTTTGAGGTATGTTGATTTACTTGCTTTCCCTCTTGTTGACAGCCCATTGATTTGAGTGCCTGCACCGTTGCTCTGCACATCTTCCAGCTGAATGAAGATGGCCCCAGCAGTGAGAATCTGGAGGAGGAGACGGAAAACATAATCGCAGCAAATCACTGGGTTCTGCCTGCAGGTATGGTGCAGACAGGTGCAGGGCCACTGAGGTAGGGCAGGGTCAGAGGGTTGTACATCTTGGGTTTGCCAAGTCAGTTCACTGAGGAGGTTCTGTCTGGCATGGTTCTACGATGTTTTACGTGTTATGAGATGAAAAGTATATTGCTGTTAGCTTTCCGTTACCATAACAAGTTCTTGGGATGATCAGCTGCTAGATGCTATGCTTGGCTGCCTGTTGCTGCCTGCCAGCATATCTTGGCAGGGTACATGACAGAGATGGGTTCACTTCATGGCTGGGTGGGAAGGACAGCAAGGGACCCATGTCTCAGGCCACAACCCATGACCTAAGACCTTCCACTTGGTCCCACTTGTTAAAGCTCCCATCACTGGCCAATGGTGCGGAGTTGAGGACAAACCTTTAACATGTGGGCCTTTGGGGGACAGTCCAGATCCAAATACAGCAGGCTCACAGGAAGGAAATGGAGCCTTCCAGGATGTGTGTCATACCCATGCGGGTACCTCTGAGGTGGTGGCCTGTGGAGAGTGCTGTGCTGGCCTTATGGCTGAGCTGTTCCCTCCTATTCTTTTGTGCTTTTTGTTTTTTTTGTTTTGTTTTGTTTTTTTGTTTTGTTGGGGGGGTGGCAATACTGGAGATTGAACCCAAGGCCTTTGCAATGAGCTACATTCCCAGCCTTTTTTTTTCTTTGTGGTTTTTTGAAACAGAGTCTCACTATATAGTGTAGGCTGGCTTTGAACTCCCTACATAGCCCAGGCTGACCTCAGACTTGCAGTGATCCTTCTGCCTCAGCCTCCTGAGTGCTGGGATTACAGGCGTGCGCCACCATGCCTAGCCTCTAGGTATAGGATGCACTTGAGAGTAGAGTATGGGTGTACCAGCTTACTCACTTATTTATTGGAGACAGAGTCTCTCTAAGTCACTGAGTTCCCCAAGCTGGGCTTGAACTTGTGCTCCTCCTGCCTAAGTCTCCCAGAGTGCTGGGATCATGGGCATGCATAGACATGCCCAGCTTCTCCTTCTCTTGCTCCATCTGCTTTGAGGGCTTTGCTGATGGCCTCTAGTTGGCAGAGGTTGGGTTAATCCTGCTGTCGGGATCCATGTCTATTGTCCTAACAGGTAGACTCAGCTGCCACAGGGGGCGTACTCTGTTAAAGCACAGGCCTGGGAAGAAAATTGTGCATGAGAAGGAGGCATAAAAGAATCACTCTGCTCCACTTAATTATCTGTCAAAAGTCATATGACTAGCATTTATTTACACCTTTAATTTTAGGAAACCTTAAAATTTGAAGTCAGATGTACAAGCTGTGCTCATGCTGTGTCAGAATGGCCATTTACTATGAGAGGTGTGAGAGACCTCATGTGTGTGTGATATCTGCCTTCCTAACAGTAGGGCTTTGCTTTTCTCCTTTCTTCATAGCTGAATTCCATGGGCTTTGGGACAGCCTAGTGTATGATGTGGAAGTCAAATCACATGTAAGTTGTTGTGGTTCTTCTCAAAATGTCCCGTTATTTGAAAGAGAATCAGTCTGGTGCTCTCTAGTACCTTCAAGGCCCTTCACTCAGGAGTCTTTGGGACTTCAGTCCGCCAGCAGCCCATGTCCTGGACACCTGTCCCTCAAAGTTGCCCCAACACGGAGTTGGTCTCTGGGAAAGAAGATGCGGGATTGGCTGGTGAAGACAGCCTTGCTGTCCTTTTAGCCTTCTGGGCTTGAGGCCACGTGAGGGGGTGTGGAGGGAGAGACAGTGGGCAGGCCCAGACGAGGACCTCTATGTCTTGCCCCTGCAGAGGTGTGCTGGAGACTGCCCTTGACCTCATGGCTGCTCCCCCAAATCCTGACAGTCAAGCTATGTGCCTGCTGTGGTGCAGCATTCTGGACAAGGGGCTGCTCTGTGCCCGCAGGCACTTGGTTTAATGTTGGCATCTTAAGTGAAAGCAACCTCTTGTTTCTCTTACTTTTTAGTAGTAATAGCCAACGCTTACCCTCTTGCTTCTTCAAATGCCTTCTAAAATAAAAGCCCAGGAGACAGTCCCTGAGCGCTTGGCAGTGGCCTCCCTCCTGAGTGGCCTTGCCGTCCTGTCCTGTCCCTCAGGAGCAAGCCCTTGCAGCACAGTCCTGGGAGCACTCTCTGGTGCCTTCACCTGCCTTCTTTTCTTGACCAGCTCCTTGACTATGTGATGACGACCCTCCTGTTTGCAGACAAGAATGTGGACAGCAACCTCATCACCTGGAACCGAGTGGTGCTGCTGCATGGTGAGACCAGACAGGTGGCATGAAATTGAGCCTTTCCTTGTGTCTGTTTTTCTGCAAGGAATTTCAGCGCTGTTTACTGAAGGAGCTAGCATTGCCCTGGAATGTCCTTTTCCATGACACTGATCTGCCTCACAGACCTTGTCACTTGACCTTCCTTTGACAGCTAGCTGATTTCTGCCCTGTGACTTTTTGTATTAAATAACCACCTATTTCACTAGCTGATGGGAATCCATTACGTAGAAACTGCTTTGTGTTTCTGTGTTGTATTCCCGATCGTCACTTAGTGAGAGTGGACTGCAAAAACCACATTTTAAAGAAATTTAATCAGGCTCTCTTAGAAGAAAACACTTGGTTTGCCTTTGTTTCCGTGTCACGGGGTAGAGAGGAGGTGGGCTGAGATCAGGAGAGTGCCCACACTACAGCAGGGCAAGGCTCTGAGTAATTACCCTTTGTCTACAGCATGAGATTGCAGCATTGTCCCTGGCACAGCACCCTCGCGGCAGGGTCAGGGTTAGCCATGGGGATTTTCATTAGTGGAAAGAATTGTCTGGAGTCAGGTGCACATTCCCACGTTAGTTATTGAAAGTGCTTGTGGAACGGCAGAGTCAGGCACGTCTCTGTTCTAGCAGTGTGCTCAGTTATCCCTATGGGGTAGCTCAGCTTCCGCAAGCCCCCATCGGGGGCGTTGATGGAGCAGGGAGTGCACAGGAGAAGCCTGGTCTTAGCTGCGGTGTTAGTGAGCTTTCTGCTACTGCAGCAAACCCTGAGGAAGTTGGCTTACTAAGAGGAGTGGGTTCTGCTGGCTCAGTCTCAGAGGTTTCAATTCATGGCAGGCTCGTCCCGCTGCCTGTGGGTTTGCGGCAGCATGGAAGCACGTAGTAGACCAGAGTCACTGTGTCATGGCCAAGAACCAAGAGTGACAGTCCCCACACTCCACTTCACGAGCCTGCTCCCAAGACCTAACCCTACCCCAGGCCACCGCTTGGGTCAGACTTCACATGGGCACCTTGGGGACATTGCTGACCCACGCCGTGGCATTGCCTGTCTAATGCAGCATGGGGTGCCACCCACTTAGCACCATCTGCAGCTAGAGATGAGGGCGCTGCAGGTTACAGCAGTAGCTGTGATCAGGCAGTATCCTCTCCTTGCTCCCCATGAAGGTCTCTGTGGCCTTCGAAAGGTGCATAGGTAGGTGGGTTTCATAGAGGAAGTGGGACGATGACAGTGTCACCAGGCTAGAGACCAGAAAATTGCTGCCCTCCAAATACAGAGCTGGGCTGTGGGCCAGGAAGCAGTGTGCTAGGGGAAGGGGCAGAAATATAGGAAGAGTCCAAATTAGGAAGAAAGAGAACTTTCTAAAGCATACTGATGATATCTTATGGCCTTTAAACTTCTTACAGACTTCTTTGTAGGTTCACAAGCAGTCTCTGTTGTGAGAACTATAGCTTTTAATCTGTTCTGTACTTTATATTGCTGATAAGCAGCTACTGCTCTTCCAGCAACGTTACTACAGCACTGGCTTAGAGATACCTTTGCTTGGCTCTTGTTACAGGTCCTCCAGGAACTGGGAAGACATCCCTGTGTAAGGCCTTAGCCCAGAAACTAACCATCAGACTGTCCAGCAGGTAACTGGTGACAGAGAGGATAGTGCGGGAATGGGACTTGTGTGAAACACAAGAGATGTGTGAAACTTTGGCTTTTAGTTGCTTTACACAGTGGTAGGATCCTCCCTATCTAGTATGGTCTTGAGTTTGATCTCAAGTTATGGAGCCTTGGTCTGTGGCAACCTGCAACCTCCTAGTGATGTCCAGGTGCACTGACAAGAGGGTGGCATGTGGTGTAGGTAGCCGGTCCTGTGCGTGATCGCCTTGCTGGTCCACTGTGCTTTTACTGGACGAGGAGCCCTGGCCTCTCTTGGGACCATCCTTCCCTCCTTGAGTTCTTTCTGTATCTTGACATTTTGGTTTTTATTATTTTTGGAAAGTCATTAGTTGTTATTCTTCACCCGATTCCCATGCCCTCCCTGTTCCCTTGGATCTGTTTGTTGGCATGTGAGGCTGCTCCATCTTCTCCCATAAGCCACTCATGTGCTTTTCATTTTTATGAAATAGCTGTTTCACTTTGAACAGTGTCTATTGCTGCATCTTCAAATTATTTTTCTGTAGTGTCTAATCTGCTTTTAATTCTTTTCAGTGACATTTTGATTTCTGGTAGGATGTTTCTCTGAGATTCTGTTTGGTTCTTCCTGTTCCTTTCCTTTCTACCTTCCTTGTATTGTTCTTAAAGTCTGTGTTGGGTTGCTAATAGCTCTTGAACGTTCTGGCCTGCTGCCTGTGTTGTAGCGTTATGTCTCTGTTTCCACTGACTGGCTTACGTCTCTGCTGCAGGGTCACATTTTTCTGCTTCTTGGCATTCAGGGAGTTTTACTTGAATGCTAAAGGTGGTGATTTGAAGTGTCTAGATGTCATGTCTTCTGCAGTTTCTGGCCTTGTTTCTGTGTTCTGTAAGCCAGGGGCTAGGGTTAGTTTTGTCTTCAGATGGAAGGAAGCTTTGCTGGGGTCTGTGTGGAGCACCTGGAGTGACAAGTCAGTATTCTGTACATTGGCCATGAGGCTCTTCCCAGCCCAAGAAACTCATAGCTGTACAGGACCTTTCTGAGCCCTGGATGCTCCCCGCTTACCTGCCATAGGATTCCGCAGAGATAGGGCATCCCCTACTGCTTTCTGGGGAGGTTCCCCATCTCCTCTGAAGCTCTGCCCACATCGCCCTGCTGCCTCCCTCTCCTTGAGCCAGCCTGTTCCTCAGCTTGGCAGGCTTGGTGCGGGTCAGGACCCTCCACGTAGCCAGTCCAGTGACCGGGCTCCCTGGGTCCTCTCTCGGGCCATGGCCTCCACTGCTTGTTGACCAGTCCTGACCATGTGCAGCTTCAAGGACCTTATCCAGTTTTCTCAGTGGAGGCTGAGGGTAAATCTGGAGCCTGACACCAGTATGAAGAAGACATCTGAGATCCCACCATTAGATCTACTTTATTTCTTTTCAAAAATGTCTTGTATTTTCACTTAAGGAGATTGCTTCATTTATCTTTCTATTTAGTAACTTGATTCTTCTTTTGACCTATTGAAATGCATCTCTTTTAAAAATCTCTAGGGGCAGCTTCCTAAAACATCAGAGAGAAGAGAAATAAGAAATATAACTTCTTTTTAATTACAAGACCCTGGAAGTATATATTTAGTGGCTTGGAAATGGCAAGAAGAAGCCTTTGTTTTTCACCCTATTAAATAATCAATGCCCTGAGTTAATTTTGTTTAACACCCAGCCAGTCTTTTTTCCACTCCCCTTGGTAAACAGCAACTGTGACTTGTCTTTTTCCTGGTGTTGAATCTAATGCTGGGGACACTTTCTAAAAGTGACTGAGAGGGGCTGGGGATTTAGCTCAGCGGCAAAAGCGCCTGCCTGGCAAGCGCAAGGTCGTGAGTTCGGTTCCTGGTACCGGAGAAAAACCAAAAACCAAAAAAAATAAATAAATAAATAAAAGTGACTGAGGACTTGTGACCTGAGAGGCATCTGCTCTCACTTGGCCCTGTGTCCTGCTCGGTGTGGCCCAGGACTGCATGTGCAGGCCCACACCCCCACCCAAGTGACAGCAGTGTCAGTGCTGGATGCCTGCAGTGCAATCCGCAGGTGTCGGTGGCCTCCCGCTGTGCCCGAGCCCCAGGGCTCTGGTCTACACTGTCACACTCAGCACTCCATGGAGGGAGGAAGAAGACACTGAGCTCCTGCCAAAGTCTCTTGTTGTTTCAGGGTTTTGTTATTTGTTATATTGTTACTGGTGATTCTTTTTAAATGCAATGAGAGAATTTTTGCTCTTTAATTCAGACAGAGCTGTGGGAAAACTTTGCTGTAATCTAGAACTACTATTGCCTCTCGTTAGATTTCTTGAAGTTATTGGGTCCCAGAGCAGCGTGCCTGGGTCCTTTGGGGATCAGTCATGACTTACTGCGCTAGGTGTTCTCAGATGAGACCTAGCGCCTGCCTCTGAGGCTGGCCTGGGTCTGGCTTGTGGAACAGTTTTCTTACCCCTGTTTTTATTATCGTAGGTATCGGTATGGCCAGTTAATTGAAATAAACAGCCACAGCCTCTTTTCTAAGTGGTTTTCAGAAGTAAGTATCAGATGTTCTTATGTCTGGACTGTCAAACAGGTTATTGGAAAAACAGTGTCCTGTATATGAGGTGGATGCTCTCATACAAAAGGTCACAGGAGTGAGTGAGATGCAAAGGTGAGGGGCTGACTGCTCAGAGAGGACAGAGAGGAGCTCCAGAGCTCCGCAGGGCTCGGAGGGAGGTTGGGCCTGGGAGGCCCTGATGGTCATACCATATACCTCAACTGGTGGGACAGGACACTCAGCTGACACCACGTAGGCAGTGGACCCCATGTGCTTGCTCACATGGGCTGGGAACTGCAGAGTCCAGCAGGGAATGTAGTAAGTGCCCTCTCCTCTGGGGGCAGTGCCCAAGGCACCTTGCATCAGTTTGTCCCTGTGGTGGGCGTCCAGGCTGGACATGGGCATCTGGGGACAGGAGCATCTGAAGGAGTTGCATTTCAGGGGCTGGTGCCTCTCGCTCCCAGTCAGCGGGTTCATGCAGCAGGGTAAGCATCTGGGCTGACCTCACAGCCCGGCCTGGCACCTCTGATCCAGGGGATTTTCTGAGGGCCTTGTGGGGCCCACTGCACTTCAGCATGTGGACTGCAGGTCAGACTGAGGGGTGTTTCGTTTCAGAGCGGCAAGCTGGTGACTAGGATGTTCCAGAAGATTCAGGATTTGATTGATGACAAGGAAGCGCTGGTGTTTGTGCTGATTGATGAGGTGGGCACCCGTCAGTAGTTGGCCTGTGACTGAGTTGTCCTTGCCATTGCTGCCACTCACTCCGTCCTGCTGCCATCTGCTCTCTGCTGCAGGACCCCTGCCCTGACACCCCGGGCATGGTGCTCCCACCAGCAGCGCCCACTCAGGCCCTGTAGCTGCCTTGAGGGGTCAGGCACTGGTCTCTTTGACCTGTTGCTCTGCCCACAGGTGGAGAGTCTCACAGCTGCTCGTAATGCTTGCCGGGCAGGTGCAGAGCCATCGGATGCCATCCGCGTGGTCAATGCTGTCTTGACCCAGATTGACCAGATTAAAAGGTAAGGCTCCGATGAGCAGTGACAGTGCACTTGACACTGATATCGATTGTCTCCCTGCTGCAGGAAATTCTTTTTAGAAATGTTTGTTAATTCATTAAGTTTTATAAATGTAAAACAGGACATGGGCATAGTACACTTTACACAGTGCAGAAATGCATAAGATAAAAAATAGACCGCAGCTGTGTCAGGCATTCGTGTCAGCACCACTGGTGTTGGTCGGGGTTGAGGCTGCCGCCTGCTTGCCCCGCTGGTCCAGGGCAGAGAGTGTGTGGTCACATTTCACGTCTGCACTGTCCTGCCCTGTGGGTCTGGGGCGTGCTGTCTGCACTAGAGATGAGCAGGTTTCACGGGGTGATTGCTGCTAACCCCAGGCACTCACAGCACAGACAGAACTGCTTCTGTGCAGCCTCCAGCAGCTACTGATCTGCACTCTCATACTACTGCTCCAAAGTCTCTTGCTGCCTCCAGGGGCTGGGGCATCACTCTGGCGCTGGCCTGTGCAATTGGGGGAATGGTCTGGCCTGCTGAGAGAGATTTTCTGCAGGCTATTGCTGTGCAGGAGAGAACGTGTGCAACTTCCCAGAGGAGAGGTGTGGGGGGTCCACTGCCCCATGCTCTCCTGCTTCACTCCCCTCTGCCGCCCCCGCCTTCCCACCTTGTGCCTGGCTGTGCCCTCTGTCTGTCCTTAGCTCCCGCTGCCACACTCCCCCGCATGCTCCCCCATCTCACAGTGCCCCCACAGCCCATCTGTAGCCTCTCTCTGTGCACGTCTCCTGTGTCACCCACTCCCCCCATGTGGCTCACAACTGAGTGGGTGAGTCCCTGCCACGGACCAGACATCACGCCAGATACTCCTGGTCACTCATTGTACCCCAAAACCGCACCTGTCTGGGGTCCTCAGCGCACTGGCAGCCTCCTCATGCACCCACCCGTGTCCCATCACACTGATGGCTTTGCCACGTGCCTGGTCCAGCCAGAAGAGCATCGCCCTGTCTTCCTCGTCTCATCAGTAATGAGAGGGATATGGGCTCGGGAAGGAGGGGAGCACACCTCCCCTGGGCCCTGTCCAGGTGACTGCCCCACCCGCTCTGGCCGTATCCACTCCTGCCTCCACTTGACCTGACTGTGCTGCCTACCTGGCTCTCAGGCCCAGCCCTGACCTCTGTACCCTGCCCCCTCCACCCCAGGCACTTGACTGAGGGGTCAGCAGTGGGAGGGGCTCAGCCCTGCTCACTCGCAGAGGGGCTGTCTGTGCCCAGGAGGTCCGCCTCGCAGAGCTTCCTACGCACCACAGCCCAGGAGGACAGCCCAGTCATGTCCTCTGCACCCAGACCACCCAGGGCCTGTAGGGCAGCACGTTGTGCCCCGTCTGCTGGCTCACCCAGCCTTAGGGACATTGGTAAGCAGAGCAGATGATGGTGGCTGGCTGTGGAGTTTAGAAGCTGGAGGGGATCAGTCAGTGCCACAGAGTCCAGAGTGATGAGCGTGTGACCTGCTCAGGCCGGGGTAGTGGGGGGTGCCGGGGTTACAGTAGATACAGGCCCTGGAGTGCTCACTGCCCAAGGGTGAGGTCTGCATCAGGAGTGAAGGAAGGGAGGAAGTAAGCCAGGTGGGAGCAGGGTGGGCTTTCCAGAAGGCAGAGGAGTGACCACAGCAAGCACCCTGGGAGACTTGCAGCCCTGTGGAAGGCGGCTGTGACGCAGAGCACAGTCAGCTGAACTAGGCAGCTGAGCCTGCTCAGGGCCTCCCACAGGCCACCTCCTGTGGAGGTGGGGTACATGTTAGTCTCTCATCAGGCAGGGTGGTACATGTCAGTCCCCCAGGTCCATGATACCTGTGTCCTTGCACAGGCATTCCAACGTGGTGATTCTGACTACCTCTAATATCACGGAGAAGATTGACGTGGCCTTCGTGGACAGAGCTGATATCAAGCAGTACATTGGGCCACCCTCAGCAGCAGCCATCTTCAAAATCTACCTCTCGTGTGTGGAAGAGCTGATGAAGGTACCTTCTCATCTCTCCTGACTGCTGGCTTTCTGGTGTGTTCCTAGTTAATGGACACAGCTTATAGTAAACTGGTCCCGTTGTAGAAAAGACGTCTTAACACAAGTATTAACCTCCTAAATTGAAAGCGGTTGTTCTGTTATGTGTCACAGGTTGAGCTCTTAGCCTATGTCGTGGCCACTCAGTATCTGTTACTCCGGCACAGTGCGATCACCGGTGTTCCTCAGCTGCAGTGTCGAGGAGTAGGCAGGAGTGGGCTGTGGTCAGCCTGCTGGGTGCAGCGTGGTTCTACACCCCCAGGCCCTTAGGCCTCCCCTTGGGCCTCGATTGCTGTACGTAGAAAGAGCCAGAACAGTAGCAGGCTGAGCCGACAGGACCATGTGTAGTACGACAAAAAATTCTGAGAGCGTAAATTTTTAAAAATCACTGTAGTAAAAGACATATTGCTTTGGACCTTCCTCAGGATCTTCCCCTCTCTTCAAACACACTTAGTCCGCTGTTCTTGCCACTCTCTGCCGCAGGTCTGAAGGTCCTCCTTGGTGTCTGTAGTTGCACTGTTGTGACTGCGTCGGTGCCCTGAATTCATTCAAACATCTGCCTTTCCTGGTCATTTTGACACTGGGGAGGAGCCAGAAGTCACATGGTGCCGATCTGGTGAATGAGGTAGATGAGGACATACTTTCGTGTTTTTATTTGCGACTTGTCAGCAGCTTTCCATTTTTTTCTCCTAAAGACTCACAAAAGAGGACTTCCAGAGCAATGGGATAAGTGCGTTCAAAGCAAGAGGGGGGATTTTGCAGGTAGTAATGGCAATCTGTCTTTTACTGTAATAACTTCATACATTTACTGCATTCAGCATAATACACTTCCATGGGCTTGAGCCGCAGGTGCTATATACGTAACTACTGCATGCTGTCTGCCTTGTCACAGATATGTTAAACCTTTGCCATATATTTTGATTATACCTCATTCATAGGACTGTCTTCTGAGGGTTATAGTTTATAGGCTGTCCTCTGACTGAAGGTCCTAGTTTGTAGGGCTGCTATCTGAGGTCATAGTTCATAGGCTGTCCTCTGTAGGTTGTAGTCCTTAGGGCTGCTGTCTGACTGTAGGTCATAGTTTACTGGCTGTTGTCTGCTGAAGGTTGTAGCTCACAGGCAGTTGTCTAACAGCAGATCATAGTTCACAGACCTTCTGACATCCTGTGCCACAGGAGCCTGCTTTGAGCCCTGTAATCAGGGAGCCTGGGGCAGTGGGCAGGAAAGCAAAGGGATGACGACTTGACTAGCAGTGGTTGTGGTAGTCATTGCCACAGGCCAGCAGGGTGGAAGTGACACTGAAGGGCAGGCCTCACTGTCCTCTCCCAGGGCAGCATAGCCTCCAGAAGATGTAGACAGGACCTGCTGAGGGCACCTGCCAGCACTGTCCTGCAGCGTGTCCTGGCTCCTGTGGGCGTAGACTGGAGGGTGCACATGACCAGAGGGGTGTGCTGGATGCGGCTTTGCTGCCCAGGAGCCTCGTGTTCTGTGAGGAACCTGGTGGGAATGAGCACATCTCCGCACCTTTGGTGTGGCCTTCAGCCCTTGTAGTGCGGTCCTCCCAGGCATGCTGCAACTGGCAATGTTGGGAAGTTAGCTCAGGTGAGATGTTTCAGAAAAGGGTGGTTTCATAGTTCAGGTGGTTTACAGGACATCAAGGCATTCAGGGGTGGTAGCTGACCTGTGGCTGGTCCTGGAGGCCATGGGGAGTGACTGGGGTCCCTGGTCTGTTAGGAGTCCATAGTCCGTGCTGTGTGTCAGGTGGCCTGCTGGGCTCCAAGTGTCCCGGCAGGGCACGCAGGCAGGGCTCCCAAGGCCACGGGGAGCCCAGTATGCCACTCACTTCAAGCCCCGACACAAACCTGCTTCTTACCCACCGTAGCCCTTCACAGACCTCCTGTCCTGGTTCCCCATGAGGGATATTTTCCTTGGAGCTCTGTCCGGTGACCCCCTTGTACTGCCCTGCAGTTTAGCACAGCTGCTTGGTGTGGCGTCTGACTTGCAGGCAGCTTCGCTATAATGGCAGGTGCTGGGACCCGGTTCCCTGCCTGCCATTCTGCTGACCCAGTCGCATCTTAACAAACCCAGCACACTTCTTTGAGAAGCATTCAAGGTCCTGGCCCCAAGTCCTGGCTCCGCCTTGTGGGTTTGGATCCGACTTGAGCTGAGAAAGCAGACCAGGCTCAGTGCCTCCCAGTCCTCCCAGTCATGACGTGCTGTGAGCAGAAATTTGAGAGGCCTGGTCGCTGCTGGGTGCCGGGACAGCCTCTGTCCTGGGAGGAGACTGAGAGTGTGTGAGCGGACCTCGTGTAACTGCTGTCCACACTTCTGCAAGGCACATGACCCCGGTACTGTCCCACGGGGACCCTGCTCACCGCCCGCCTCTGTCCCCAGTGCCAGATCATATACCCTCGGCAGCAGCTGCTGACACTTCGAGAGCTGGAGATGATCGGCTTCATTGAGAACAACGTGTCCAGGCTGAGTCTCCTCCTGAGTGAAATCTCAAGGTGCGAGGGAGTCGACCTCTTGTGGTCAAGAAAAACCCATGTGTTGGGGTTCCCTGGGGAGCCAGGGAGAGCCCAGGAGGTGAGCTCCGAAGGCAGCGAGGCGTGGGGAGTGTGAGACACGAATGTGTCTGTGCGCACAGGACCCATGACGTGTGGCCCTGAAGCAGCTAGTGATGGTGGGTGCAGAGGGCAGGCAGGGAGTTGGTGGAGCCTCACAGGACAGTGAGAATGGTTGAGGGACCGGGAACCAGGCCGCCATGACTGTCCATGGCAAGTGTGATGCTGGGGTGGCCCAGAGAGCCTTGAGTTTCTGGACAGAGCTTGAACTTCAGTCTGGAGCCATGAGGAAGGTCTCAGTGAAAGCAGAGCGTGAAGGATGCAGTGCTGTTGAAAGTTTGGTTACCTGCTGAGAAGATTCCAGTTAATTAAGACAAGAAAAGTCTCAGAGTTGTGCAGAATCGTGGGTGGGGACCAGCATGTTCCTTTGAGGACTGGCCAGGTGGTGGCAGCACAGCCTCACATCCATGCCTCTGCTCCTGGGGGCAGCATGTGGTCCTGACCCTGCCCAGGACAGGAGGGCAGGGCTCTGCAGGGCCAGGGTTGTCTTAGGGTCTCCTCAGCCTACCTGTGGGCTTGCATCTCACAGTAAGAATGAAGTGGTCCTGAAGCGCACACATTTTCATGTGAATGACAATCTTGTTTGCACTCTTGCAGGAAGAGTGAGGGCCTCAGCGGCCGGGTCCTGAGGAAACTCCCATTTCTGGCTCATGCACTATTTATCCAGGTGAGTCCGAATCCTTAGCTGTCCTCCACCACCTCCACTCCATCCATGGCCTTGACCTTGCACTGACTCTAAGATGACAGGATCAGGGCCAGGGATGTAGCTCAGTGGTATAGTACCTGCCTGGCAAGCGTAAGGCCAAGAGTTTGATTCCTGGTACCGAAAAATAAGATAAGATGACAAGATCCTAGGGCAGGAGGACCAACTTTGACATCTGGGAGGAGCAGGGTTCGGTCTTGAGTCTTTGAGGAAGGGTCTGAGCTTCCACAGTGCTGGCCCCTTGAGTGTGGACTCTGCTGTGGGCAGTGGCCTACAGTCACCCTCCCCAGCCTGGCGCTTGGCCCTCCAGCCAGGAGCTGCCGCCCTTTTCTCCTCCCAAGCAGCTGGTCATGGGGGGCCCTGTGGTCTGGCAGAGCAGATGTGCTGGTGTCTGAGACAAGCAAATGCATCTTGGAACAGTTCTGTCTAATCAGAGTCACTTGGTACATCTCCTGGTCAGCAGCAGCCTTGTGCTGGGCATGGTGCTCAGTGTCCAGGTGATGTAGGGTGTGCCCTTGAAGAAGGGCTCCAGAGTGACAGGCCTAGGGCCCCAAGTCTGTTCCAGCAGTTCCTGTTCCTTGACAGGTTGGCACCTTTGGTGTTTACCTGTCTGCTCCAACATACATTTCTAACCTGCAGGAAACGGGGTCACATTTGTGTGTCCTGTGGGCCTGAGCAGAGGCCTGGACTTGTTTAGCCTGTATCCTGGGGTGGTTGGGCCTGAGAACATTGCCACTGTGTGGCCGAGGATCACAGTCTGTACTCTGCTCCCTGGGTGGGATGGTTGCTGCTAGGTGGCCCTGCATGGCCACCCAGAGATGACTGCGTGTCCTTCCAGGCCCCCACCATCACTGTCGAGGGCTTCCTCCAGGCCCTGTCTCGGGCAGTGGACAAGCAGTTTGAGGAACGGAAGAAGCTATCGGCTTGTGACTGACCTGGCTCCACGCCTGTGGTTTCCGTGGCAGACTCGAAGGTGGCACCACTGGTTCCAGCTCAGCTGTAGGCACCCTCAGCAGAGGCACTCAGAGCTGCAAGCCAGAGGCGAGGCTGCCAACTGCCCAGAGGGCTGTGTTTATGTTGTGTAGAATGCATCCTGGAAGGCAAACGGCTGGTCCTCCCTGGTGTTTTTAAAAGGATAGTTCAAATTCTGTTATTCTCTCTGCTTATTCCCATCGTGTTCCAGCCACTCACATGCAAGGGTTGTTTAAAATAAAGGGAATCAGCGTGGCTGTTATGGAAACAAGAGAAACATGATTGCCCTAAATAAGCCTGTGATCACAGCATCACAAGACGGACTCTGCCTCAGCCGGAAGAAAGCATGCAAGAAAAACCAGTTCCTATGTCCCAGAAACTGCAGAAAAAGTATGGTTTTCCCTGGAATCAGACAGGAGTGGTGCAGGTGCTTGCAGCCAGCAGTTGGGCTCAGGCGGCGCTGTGTGTCTCTGCCTGTGGCTTCACTGTTCAGTAGCAGCATTCATGCTGAGTGCGGCTCCACTCAGCAAGTGGGTAAATGATGGGTGCATTTCACAGAATATTACGTTTTGCTTTTACCTCATGCAAAAATAAATTTCATATCAGTGCTTTGTACATGAAGTCCACTTTTTAAAGGATGTAACCTGTGGTCATAGAACATTTTTAAGTAATTAAATTCATTTTCAGACTTTTCTTTGATTCCATTCTCTCACATATGTGAATTTTACTAAAAATCATTCAAGGCTCCCTCAGCATGAGGGCTGCCTGTGCTCTGAGGACTCTGGCCAAGTTGTCTGCAGGAGCCATGCCCGGGCCAGGGACCTGTACCACCAGTTAGGGACGGGCTCCACAGGGCAGGGGACCCCACCAGCTGTGTGCTGGGCCGGACTGATCCACAGCCTGGCACCACCCCAGCACTAGGGAGCCAAGCCTGGCTCTGCTGTTCCTGAGAAGGCTTTTGGGGAGGCTGGCTGGATGGGGTGGGCCTAGTCCTTATCTGCAGGGAAGTGAAAGAGCCCAGTGCCCCTACCTCCACTTTCGGAGTTAATTTGCGCCCACAAAGCTGGGTGGCCCTGACCCCCAGTTCTTTAAGATGGCTGGGAGGGGAGGCAGGAACCTAGAAAACAGGTGGAACACCCTTAGACGGTAAAGGCAGAAAGGGGTCAAGCTGGGGACACTGCCTGGAGGCGTGGCACGGGGTGCAGAAGTCGGTGTGCCAGGCTCCTGTTGTGGATTCCAGCTCCGAGCTAGGATGACACAGTCGCTCCAGGACGCCTGGTCACGCGTCAGACTTGCTGAGCTTCCACGCCTACCCTTGTTGCCTAAAAATAGGATCTAGCTAGAAAACAATTAGCCCACCTTTGCGCAAGGCCCTGTCTGCAGTAGTTTGCATAAATTTTGTCTGGTTTTCTAGTTGATGGCAATGAGGAAAATGTGGACTCCACTTCCTGTGGGTGGTGGGAGCCCTGCATGGACTTTTACCAAGGAAGGAAGCAGTTTCTGCCTGTGACTTCCCCCAGGTGGTTCTGTCAGCCTCCTGCTGGTCAGGGTGGTAGCCAGCAGCCCCATGGCCTTCTTGTTCCTTTGGGATGGACCAATCGGTGGGGGGACGGACAGACTGAGGCCTGTGCCTGGACCACCAGCAGAGGCTCAGACAGGACTTTCCTGCACAACTGGACCAGGGGCCAGCAAATGAGGCAGCACCTGTGAGAGAGCTGTCATGGGATGCCTGAGACTCCAGGCCACAGCCTACTTGGTACAGTTCCCAGGCATGGCCACGTGCAGCCTGTCTGCCGGTGCCTCTGCATGGACTCAGTGGTCACTATAGCCTTTTAAGGAGAACTCTGCTGGAACCCAGGGTCAACCAGTCCTAGCATAAGTGGCCAACATCCAGGCCACAGGCGTAGTGACCACAGGGAGCTAGCCCACTGCCTTCCACCCTGGGTCAGGATAGTTGGCTGGCCAGACTTGTACACTGCAGCTGCACCTTGCTCAGCTGGGCCCACCCTGGCAGGTGACTGGTGGCCTCCTGTGTCCTGTAGCCTGAGCACGGCCCCTGCTGGCAGGGCTCAGCAGGCAAGGTTCCACAGAAGACACGCAGAGTTGCCTGCTGAGGCTGCTGCCTCTGGCAGGTTTCCCTTCTGGAACCTTCTCGGCAGGGTCATCTGTCCCGTGCCTGACTGACCCCACCTGCTCTCCAGGCTGCCTATTCTTGGAGCTGAGCTGGTCTCCAGCGTCCATTCTGTTGACACCTCAGAACCAGGATGACCATCCCACAGGGGCCTCGGGGACTCTCCTGGCCACTCCTTGTTGCCAAGGCTGGCAGGGTGGCCAACTTCTCCGTCACCTGACATGGGGTTCCAGGGTGGTTCTCTAAACAAGAAAACCTAGCAAGACCAGGAGGTTTTCTAAACATGACCCTCACAGGGTCAGTGACATATACGCTGCAAGGGACATTCCCTCATTTGTGCCCCTGTAACCTCAGGCCTGGCCCCTCATTCCTGGTGCCTCTGCCTCCCCACCACCGGGGCCTATCCTCCACCCCACTGTGCAGGGACCCTGAGGCTTCTGGCTGGTACAGGGCTGGCCACCTTGCCTACCATCTTCTGTGGGTACTGGTGGTGACACTCATGTCCTCAGGGCAGGCCCTATGCCAAGCCTGGCCTTGGCCTTGGGTACTGAGGGAGGTGAGATGGCTGCTGGGGGAGGGACTGCACCCAAGCTAGGTGAGGCATGGGTTGGGCACAGGGCCTTCAGGTCAGGGCAGGCCCCCGGTGCCCATGTGTGGCCCAAGGACCAGAGCACACTGAAACCAGGGCCAACTGGGACTCAGACCCTGCCAGGCCCTTGGCTGGCAGTGGCTGGTCTTCCCGAGCCTGTCACCTAGGGGAGTGACACTGGTCAGGCAGCAGGTGCCATGGACAATGTCCCCATACCCTGAAAGAAGTGGCGGATCTAGGGGCCATGGCAGGGGGACCCAGGGTCTGGGCCCTGAGTAGGTGAGGATCTCATTTCCAGTCACCGGTGTCAAAGTGCTCAGAGCTGGGTTGGGCTGGGGTCAGAAGGTTCAACAGGAGAGCCAGGCACAAGGGCTGGGGACTCAGGCAGGCGGGCGGGGCCCAGGCCTGCGGCACAAGAGGGCTGAGTCCTGGACAAGCCTGCCGGCCTTCTGTGGGAGTGACAGATGGAGCTGCCTCAGCCCACTAGGGGGCAGCACTTGCCTGTGGGATGGGGCGGGACAGGCTGGAGGGGCACCAGGGTCTGAGGAAGGTCTGCCAGGCCAGGGCTGCAGCGGCTCCCACAATGACCAGGTCCACACACACCGTGGGTGTTTGCAGGGGAGAAGACGGGGGATCGAGGGTATAGTTGCAGCTGCCTGGCCAGGCTGGCTGGGTGCTTTCCAGCTTTGTGGTGCAGGGCCCCGCCGTTCTCTGAAGTTCAGGGTGGCCCGCTGGGGGTCTGGTGGCCATGAGCTGAGGCCAACTTCCTCAGGAAGGTGACCAGCCACCCAGATCTGTGCCCCCTGTGCTGTGCCAGGAAGTGCCACCCCCAAACACATCTCTACGTCACTGTGCAGACCCCACAGCCATGAGGAGGCAAGAGGCCCGGGGAATGGAGGTTGCTGTAAGACACCCCAGGCTGCCTCCTCTACTCCGCCATAGGCCACAGGGTATGACTGTCAGTGCAGCAATGGGGCCTCCTGGGGGCCAGCTGCAGAGCAAGCACAGCCTGGGGAGCTGCTGATCCCACGGCCACCGTCCAGACCACCCTCCAGACCACCCTCCAGGACTCCTGGCCAGCAGCAGCCACAGCTGTGTCCTTGAACCCTGGAGGAGCAGAGGCCACAGTCCTGTCTCTGTCCGCCCTGCCTCCTTCAGGGCCAGCTGGTGGGGAGAGGGACACTGCCCCTCTGGGCCAAGTGCTGCTCCCACTTCCAGGATGGATCTGAATTGTCCACCTGGCCTCCGCTAGGATGTGGGAGTGCAGCACTGGGGGCCCTGGGCCTCAGTCCACACTTGGGTATGTGCCCTGGCCTGTCCCGAGGGGAGGCCTTGACCTGCCTGGCCTCCGGACCGGGAGCTGGTGCCCCTGCACCTCCTGCACTCCAGGGATGCTCTACTCCTTCCCTCTTTCCCTCTCTCAAGGGCTTCAGTGGGAAAAGAGGGTGTCAGGGGATGCTGCTGGAGCCTCAGAGGTTTGCAAAGCCCAGAGCTCATTTGAAGGCATCCATGTGGACAGCCGGGGCCCTGGGCAAGGTCCTGGGATTCCAAGAGTGTTGACCCAGGTCCCACGACCCAGTGCTCAGGGAGTGGAACCTCTCAGCATCCTTCCCAGCTGAGCTAAGCACCACCTGCCCCCGCCCCTGCCCCTGCCCCTTCTGAGGTGTGAGGGACAGCTGTTCCCAGCTCTCACAGCTGCCAAGCATCCATATTCCTTGAGGTGCAGATGCTTCGGTTCAGTTCTTGTCTCTCATGTCATCATCCCTGGCTCTGGGGCCTCAAATCTCCCTCTGTCCCCTCTTACAAGGATGCTGGTCAGTGATTTAGGCTCCATCCTAATCCATGGTGGTCTCACCTCCAGATCCTTGACTCCATTGGCAAAGACCCGACTTCTAAGCTCAGAGCCATGGATTCCAGGCGTTAGGACTTGGGAAGCCTGTGCATCCCAGTGGTTTCTGTCCAAACTCATCTCCACATTACTGGAGCTCAATGACATGCTGTGGGGGAGTGGGATGTGTGTCCAGGACAGTGGCATTGACCAGGCAGAAGCCCGTTCCTCACACTGGATGCCTGAGCCCTTCCTGCCTGAGGACTGTTCACCCAGGGGGAGGTCAATGGGCTGTGAGAGATGCAGGCAGCTCCCTTAACGCATCTGGGCTCCCCAAGCCTGAACAGTTCACAGGCAGAGCCACCTGCAAGTCCACGTGTGTCCCTGCCTTTTGGGTAGGGTGTGGGTGCTGTCACATGGGCACTGGCCAAGTGCGGGCTCTGTGAAATCCACTGTCCCCTCGACAGGATGCTGTTGGCTGATGCAGGGTTGAACGCAGACCCCACATGGGTGGGGTAGGTCACATATGTGAAGCTGCTGGGCCATGTGTGTCACAACCACAATGCTACCACCCTCCAGACTCACGGGGGGCACTCTTCACGGGCAGGCTGCCCAAGCAGGGGTTGTCCGTCTGCCCACATCCCCATGGGATGGGGCACCACCTCCTTGACACCCCTCGGGCGGCTCTCAACTGTCTAGGACTAACACCCCACCTGAGCAGAAGGCACCAGTACCAAGAGTCACCATGCACAGGAATGGCTTGGAGGGTGAGGGCTGGCAGAACGCGCCTCAGGGACCCAAGAGATGCCAACCAAAGGGAGAGGCAGCCAACCCTTCCTGTCCCTGGAAAGAGGAGCTGGGACTCCCACCAAGAGGGCCAGGAGGAAGGACATGGCCTAGGCAGGAGTCACAGCAGGGTGGGGCGTCACCCCAAGCAGTCCTCACGGGTCTCTGCCTCGAGATTGCTTTCCTACGGGGCCTCTATTGGCCAGCTCCGAGCCTGTGCATTTCCCGTGCTGGTCCCTCTGCCTTGCCAAAGACCCCCTTGGCACTGAACAAGAGTCTGAAGGTGCTGCTTTTCTCCTGGGAGTCTGCAGACCCTGCAGGGAGAGGTTCCACCCCTGCAGAGCACAGAGCAGGGAAA